CATCACCTACTGTATCAACTATGGAAGCAGTACAACATACTTTCGATCAAAGAAATGCATCTTCTTACCTGCACCCGCTTCTCCAGCAGTTGCTCTGATAAAAGACAACAACGTGAATGTACATTGAACTCAGAAAACTCGAAACTTACTGATCAGTCCCTTGAACATCCCCATTAGGCTTTTCTTCTTCATTCAATTTCGCTTCTTCACGTTTCTTCTGCTCTTCTTCTTCGGCAGCAGTCAAATTCTCTGCATCAGCCAAGTTATCAACGGCGACTAAAAACACAAATATGTTCGTTTTTCTCATCCTCTCTCATCATCTCCTCCCAAATCGAACTTACTAGCCAAGAAGACGTTCAGTAAAATGTAATTACCACAGATAAATAAAACAATGAAATAAACGCAAACGACCGTACCAGCCAATCCCAAACCACCCAAAGCACGAATGCCTGTGTACAACACTTCATTCCAATCTTCACCCGTTAATATCTACACGGAATCATCTTTTATGTCGAAGTAAACAACCGTTCCTAGCTTAACTTACTTGAAATACAGTAATCAATGCACCCCAGAATGAATCGAAATTGTTTCGTGGTTTCTCTTCGACGGTGAAGATTTCATCGAATTTACCTCCGAACATTTGCATACCCAGAAGAGCAAAGATGACAATAAACAAGAATAGAAGCAACAGTAGAGATGCGATTGACTTCATCGAATTAAGCAAAGATGCAACTAGATTTCTCAAGGCTGTCCAGTATCGTGTCACTTTGAATACGCGTAGAAGACGAACACATCGCAACACAGATATACCCAATGGTGGCATAAGATCTTTGAAAATGAGAACGAATTCAACAATCGAGGCAATAACAACGAAACAATCGAAACGATTGAAATTCGATACGAAATAGCCAGTTATGCCGAGTGAATACATTTTCAAAAGCATTTCAAATGAAAACAACACGACGAAGATTCGATTGGCATATTCTAGAATAAAATCTTATCTCATATCAATGATTTTCATCGAAATTGTTCACCTTGAGTTTCAGTTAACCATTCAGGTTGAAGATAATATTCACTGGCTAGCACAACTGTGTTCATCAAGACAAGAATAATAACAATCCAATAAAATGTTTGCGATTTCACCATGGTGTGGATGCGACGTCGTGTATAAGCATGAAACACTCGAATGTATCGTCTAAATCATTCGAAAATTACAGAGAAAATTTCAATTTATTTGTTCACATACAGTTTTTCGTAGAGCCAACTGCAATGTGTTTCTAGTTTGCCCTGCTTTTTGATCGGTTCACCAGATGCATCCAAAGCAACTAAAAAAGAATACACAAAGACTTGAAACTGTTGAATCAGGCAATATTCGAAATTTACCGTCATTTTCTGCACCATCGGTAGTATCATTTCCGATTTCTGCAAAATAACAATCGATAGAGAAACTGAACATGTCGAGGTAACGTGTCTAATTACCAGCTTTACGAATCCATGCCATGTAATTTCGAAAAGATTCATCAATAATTTGAATTTCTCTCAATTTTTGAAAATCACCACGCTGTTTAGCTTTTTCTCTTTCTTTAGAAAATTCACTAAATAGCGAAAGAATTGTCAATTATAAACTTTCAAGTTTGCTTTTTCGATCCATACCCGCTTAGAACACCTAAGACAAGGTTCATGACGAAAAAAGAACCAATGATTATCAATGAAACGAAATAAATCCAGGCCCATTCACGTCCAATAGCATCATTCATCTAGAACAATCAGGAACAACGGAAATACTCGATACCGGTTCAACTCGATATCACTGTGAAGATCTTACTCTCGCTATTTCATATTCATTCGACTTCCGATGAGATTCACAATCAATAACAATAAAAAACGACTCCAGCTAAGATTTAATCACTTCCGGATTGCATATGAATAAGTTTCTCAAGACTAACTTCCTTCGAAAATACTCCTTCTTTACCCTGTTGATCTTTTCCCTCTCTTTCTCTCTCTCTTGAACATACCCGATATAGAATTGATGTCCATCCTTCCATTGTTATACATTGAAAGACAGTTAACATAGCCAAACCAAAGTTATCGAAGTTGATGAATCCAAACCATGGGCCTACCCAACCGATGTCTTTGCATTCCTGACCAGCAGGACATTTCCTTCCTTTCTCACCACACGGCCGAATGGGATCCTCTGGTGGCATAATAGCTACAGAAAAGAAGTTTCCAACAATGCACTCGAAAACTCGTTCTCATTTCTCACTCGTTCCATTGTAGTAGCAAGTCATATGCATTTTACCACAAAATAATTCGAGACCGATGATTGCATAGATCGTAATGACAAAGAGTACCAACAGAGCAATATGTAACAATGGCAACATCGCTCGTAAAATTGAATTTAACACAATTTGCAGACCTTTAGGAAAGAAGAAACAACAACCGAATTAGTCATAATCGATAGAAATCGCTGCACATGCAACAAGTCAAACTTCATCTTACCAAATGCATAACTTATACATGCAACCAAAAGATATTTCTTTTTTTTTCTCAAACAAAAATCAACACCAGACATAAAAGCAGGCAGGGATAGGATGATAATAACAACTAATAGACTAAATGATACAGTTCTATGTATTTACTTGGTACACCATTGACAAGTTTTAATGGTCGAATCACACGAAATGCTCGCAGAGATTTGACATCAAAACCCTGAACATTATATCGGACTAGTATAACACTCAGAAATCTAATTGAAAGAAATCGTTTCGTGGCTTTTCTCAATGTTGACTGCCTACCCGACGACAACAATAATAAAATCAAGTAAATTCCATCCACTTCGCAGATATGCATTCGGATGCAGACATAGACCATAGGCAATGATTTTTAGAACGACTTCAAGTGTGAAGATCGCCAAAAAGATGTACTCAATTTGTTCCTAAAGTTCCAAGATTAAATTAATTAAATTTTGTTTCACTTCGCTTGTTGTCTTCTTCGCATTGGCGTTCGACAACAACGACAACAACAACAAAAAAAACGTCAATCTCTGGAGAACGATAATTTATGATCAAAACTCTCTCTTAATGCACTTAGTCCGGATAGATTGATTAGATCCTATACACTCTTTAATCGAATTATTTACTAGAATAGAATTTGTTGGTGTTGTATCATTATGTGGTAATGGTTTGCTCAAAGCTAATGCACCACAATTACAAAAGATTGTTAACAGCACCAAATATTCAAAAGGTCTAAAATAGTCAAAGCGAAAGTACGATCAATGTCTTTGCTCCTTTGCACTACTTACTTCCATTCGACTAGTTTGATACAAGTACGACGTAGTTTGTTATCAAGTGATAGACAAAATAGAGCGCGACTTGGATGTTCAGGTGTTGTCTGTCGTCGTTTACGTCGACGAATTTCAGCTTGTTGTAAAACTGCACTCCAGGCATTATTACCAGTAGGGATATCAAGTAGATGTGCCTGAACAGCAAATCAAAGCAAAATAAAGATCTTTACAGTAAATGCCTCTATACGTACAGCTTTTTTAGGAGGTGCTTTCATCTGCGGCGGTAACGGTGGGACTAAAAGAAGGAGATGAATGCATTTGAATTTGAATTGAGTGTATAACTTACGCTGATCGTACTCATCATCCGCCGTGTATGAGTATTGCAATGGACCAAACATTTTGTTGTCTGATTTGTTTTTATCTTGTTAATAAACGATTTCGGTACGGTCGAATGCTGGAATGCTGATCAAACGAGACTAAATGGGAAGAAGCGAAGATCTCAACATGATTTTCGAAAGTAAATTGAGTGCGACATGAAGGCAAAGGAAGGGAAAAGAAAAAAAAAGAAAACTTACGGAAAGAGGAATTACAGAACATTTGTTTTGTCGTTGTTGCATTGAAAGAACATTAGAACTAATGATCAGTTTAGAAGAAATATCTGAATCGAATAAGAGAAAAAGAATGCGAAGAAAAAAAAATCGCTCAAGGAAATGGCAAACTCGTTGAATACAAAAAAAAACACAACTCATATCGAAGGGTCATACAAGGTCGAAGAAGAAAATATCATCAAGGATTTTTGTTTGTCTACCATACATCCGGTTCCAAATAAGGGCAACAATGTTCTGGAACTACTATCAATGCGAAGAAAAGGCGACTGTGCCGCCACATATAGTCATTTGATCATTAACAAAAAAATACTTCTCTCGTGAAAAAATTCTCTACTTCATGTGAACAAATCACTTCGATCTCCACATTTCACTCGTTTCCAATTCAACTTAACCAATGAAAAAATTTGTTTTTTTTTATATTCATTAGAACATATATAGATTTTCCTTCCTAACAGAACAGTCGTCATACGTATTTGTCCTAATCGACTAGTAATATATCATCGATAGAAAACAAAAATAAATACTATCCATTCACAAAAACAGAGAAAGTACCTTGAACTTCTCTCAACAACTCCGCAAACAAAAAAAAACGAGCATTTTTATGAAGTAATGTAAAGTCTGGGGAAGAGACGAATGTCTTGTTACTGATTCAAATTGATCTACAATTCTTCGTTGAAAGGCTTTGATCAGAACAGATCACTAGAGATTGGGATTAGATAAGTAACTCGTCTTGTATGTCAGAAATCATTTACAACTATGTAGATCGGATGATCATCGAGAACTTGAATTATATAATTCAAGAGAAATTCCAAAGTGCTTTGTCCTATTGGCTGTTGCTCGAATACATTCTCTTCGATGGTGTTAACTTATAATGCACACAAACATCTCTTCGTACATCCAACCATTTCGAGTGGATATGAGTGGTGTATCAAGCTTGTTTTTTTTTTGTTTCTGTTCTTTAAAAATCGACCAAACAAGCGTGTGTGTGTGATGTATTTGAAGTACTGAAAGGTGGAGAATGTTTTCTTTCCCATTTCACAATATACTTCTCGCAGATGATTGATATTATGAGAAAAAAGCGTCACTATATAGCTTTTGTCGACTTTCAGATGGCGGATTCACCACAATGGAACTCGTATCCCGGTGTATGTGACCTACATGCTGAAGAATTGACTGATGAGCACTTGATTCACACCGATTATTGTCGCGTGTGTGGCTATCATAGAGAAGATCATATGCGTAAGTGATTGTAAAGATCAATTGCCACTCAGTGCCTCATGTGTTGATAGATATTCTCGATGATGACCACGAGAGAATTACCAATTTCAAAGAAGATCCAATCGTGACTATATTTAGCACAGCCGTTGATTTTTGTCAGTCTAATACTTGGTTTTTTGCTTTAGAATAACTTCGATTTTGATGATATACCGATTGACTCGAATAATTCTACTGTACCTGAGCAAGATCTTCGAGGATTAAGTAAACAAGAAGCTTCGGATGCATTGGATAAAATCTGGACACGTTTGCAAATGGAACAATTTGCTGAAAGAGAGACAGAATTAGACGAATCGTCTCTTAAGCTTCAAGGTCAAACAATCCGTTGGTATGAATGTATTTATAGTCAAACAAAACCACCAACTGGTCACAGTTTATGGATATCTATGCACGGAGGCGGTGGTTGTCCAGCCCCGGACAATGATCAGCAGTACCAAAATCAACAAAAACTCTATGACCCAAGTGAGGGCATTTGGGTAGTACCACGAAGTCCAACAGACAGCTGGGACATGTGGCACCAAGAACATATTGATGCTATGTTCAATCGAATCATTGAAAACTACATTATGGTTAAGGAAATCAATCCTAATCGTGTGTACATCTTAGGCTATTCAGCCGGTGGCGATGGTGTGTATCAGCTTGCCCCGCGTATGGCTGATCGATTTGCAGCCGCTGCAATGATGGCTGGACATCCAAATGATGCTTTACCATACGGTCTTCGCAATCTACCATTTGCCATTTATGTCGGTGAAAATGATTCGGCGTATAATCGGAATGCGGCTGCACGACAATGGGCTGAGCAGCTTGATGGTCTACAAAACGCAGATCCAAATGGTTATAAACATCACGTGAATATATGTGTTGATATGGGTCATTGGATGTGTGGTCGAGATGCTGAAGCATTGGAATGGATGGCACAATGGGCTCGTAATCCATGGCCGAAAAAGATTGTTTGGGTTCAGGATAAAGTATTTCACGATCGTTTCTATTGGTTATCCTTACCTAATTTGGTTCGAGTGAGGAAAGGTGAAAAAATTACTGCGGAAATCAACGAGCAAACCATTACTATCACTCTCACTGCAGACATTCAGCAGCTTGATGTTTATCTTTCCGATTTCTTGCTGAACTTAGATGAACCGATCAGTGTTCAGGTCGCTGGTTACGGTCAAGTCTATCATGGTCGTGTACCACGTACCGAACGAGCTATAGAGCAATCATTACGTCATCGTGCCGATCCAACATGTGCCGCATCTGCTATACTGGAGCTCGCGTGGGCAAATTTTTAAAAGCGCGTTGTTCTTGGTTTAATCTGTTTGTTTATTTTACTTGGTTTTTATGTGCGTAAGCTTTTTTTCAAAATAAAGTGTAAGAAAAATGTGGACATGGGATGCAAGAGAGAGAGAGAGCGAAACATAATAAATTCAGTTAATCAAAGAGAGGATAAACAAGAAAAATCAATACCAATAATGTTAATAGACGTGAAACAAAGTAAAGCTGTTCAAAAGACAAAATTTACAGATGCGTACAGAGAATAGCACACACACATATATATGTATACAGGTACGTAATCGCGCAACAAAGTAAACAAAAGTACATTCTTAGTTCCAGAAAAACAAAGTACACACAAACACACACACACAGATAGTCTAGTACACAATAGTGACCCCAAAATGTACACATTTGGAAGCTCGACGTCGCGTGTCTCTTGCTCCTGATTTCTGACTTGTTCATTTTTCTTTCTCTTTAATGAATACACTAGAAATAGTTTTCTCGACTCATCCTCTTGATTTTCTTTTTTAAAAGCTTATTGTTGAGAAGAAACCAAAAAACGACATACATAAGATGAGAGAACGCGCACACAAAGATATCACTCGGCCAAAGACAGAAAAAAAAATACAAAGTACACAAACGGGAGAAAAAAAAACGAAGAAACTTGGGCTTTGAAAGATATTTCTTATCGCCGATAGAACATACTGTTTTGATACGGTTAATAAATCTAATTGCCCACGATGCTGATATTGTACAACAAGAGAAGCGTAATGCATCTTCTTGAAAAATAGAAAGAGGGAGAGAACGCATTACATAGAAGTGAAAAGAAGAAAAACATGTTATCACATTGGGAACAATAACAACAGCAATAACAATGTATGACAAAGCGAAAGGATGTGGATACTACTTGTCGTAGAAAGAGGGAGCATAAACACACTTATGTATAAATGAGTACAGTGAAAAAGAAGAAGAACCAAGCTTTAACAAAAAAAAGAAAAAACAAACAAAACAGGCTTCGTGTGATGATTTGTTTTACACGTATGAAAAAAAGAACATGAAAGGTAAAGGCAAAAGTCTCATAAATAGCAACATGTAGATAATATTTTCAGCTTGAAATTCACACAAAAATTTCGTCGTCATTATAAGAAAAGAAAAGAGCAGGAAATATGTGTCGTCACACTCGTTCAATTAACGAGATCATCTATTATCATAGAAATGATCGTTTAGATATGTTCCATTCTCAAATGAATGCTTGAAGAGATTTGCTTTGATTATTGCCCATCGACTAACAAGATTTCATCGTCACCTAAACAGACAAGATTGATGAATACAAGACATTCTTCGGAAAAGGTCGACAAAACATTGTATACGACTAGAGGTTATTATGTTTGATTATATCGACATTCATGATGACGATTATCAGATAGTTGACAGTAAATCAATATTTTCGATTGAATCATTTATTAATAGGAGCAAAAGGTCACCAAGCTTGTAGAAGGCTTCTTACCTTGTTCGTAGTGACCGACAGCATCTGTCCATTTCATTGCTAAATACGCAGTTAGTTGATCGAGATTGAATCGATCGGTTGGCGCATTTCGTCTTTCTTGACTATAAACAAGTTGTAATGCATTTGACATAATGTGCGATGAAGATTGTTGTCTGCTTTGATGAAATAGTCTTGTAGACGACTCATAATCATCTTCATTATCAGTATCGTCTTGTTGAGATCTACTTTCAATCAGTAGCGATGCTGGTGTGATTGGTTGAAAATATGCTGCATGCGGCGTCTGTGTTGGATAATAGTATGGAGGTGCATACATCGGTGGGATAGGTACGGGTTGTTCAAGATCATTTGGACCCTTTTTCATCGGTTGCAGATACATTGGTGCTGAGATAGTCGTATAAACTAGTAAAGGTTCTTGAGCATGTTCTGAAGATTGAGCAGTTTCGTTATCATCATCGTTGCGGGTATTTTCATCTTGATCTGTAGCGGTAGTAGCATCATTAGTAGTCGAAGTCGTATACCCAGTTGGAATAAGAATGTACCGTGTCTGGGAGGGTAGGTATGGTGGAGGAACTACGTTCATATAAGCAAATGATTGAGAATAGTTCGAAATTAAACGTTGTTGGTTATATTGTAACAAAAGCAGAGGATCAATGTGAGATGGCTGAGTGAGTGGTGTTGTCTGCGATGGATAATTCTGATTATTGTGTTGATGTGAATGAAAATCTGAACCGGAATCGAAGACTTGTCCACGATTCGATCGTTGCTTTTGGTATGAATGTCGAGATGATGAAGTTTTCGGATCGGTTGGTGGCGTCGAAGATGGATTTTCTTGTTCTTTGTCAACTACTGACAATGGCGCCGAAGAAGGTGTTGGAGGTAGCGAAGATGACGACGACAATGTTTCTGTAACGAATTTATCTACTAAAGGATTTTCAATATCGAAGCCGAACGAAACACCATTCAATTGGACATCTTCAGATTTATTGAAAAAGACGACCGGTGGTGGTTTTGACTGTCGTTTCAACAATGATGTTATTGATGATGAGGACGAATGAGATGATAGGCGAGGTGACAGTTGATCAGCTACATTGTTCGATATCGCAGATGACGATGCGGTTGGTACTGTTGATGTTTGAGAAATCGATTGTGGAGCTGAAGATGTTGTTTCTTCTATTGTTGATGGAGAATTCGATGATTTTACATTCGAAGGGCCATTGACACGTATTTTTGACCGTGCCGTTCCATTTAGTTGCGTTGTTTGAGGCGTAAAACGACGTTTGTCATTCGTACTCGACGATGGTAAGTGAGATGTTCGTGAAGATGATGATGACGAAGGATTTGAATCTTGCCGACGCTCTTTCGTCAAACGACGACGATGTGTAACCGTTACGAAAGGTTCCGAAGCGATTTCACTGATCGAATTGTTCAATGTTGTTGTGGATAAAGATAGCGAGTCATTATCATCAGTGACAGATGATGTACTACGGACTGGTTCTAACCATTCGGGTGCCGATATTTCACCATTCTATATCAAAGAAAACGTGCGAATTAGTCGAAAGTCGAGTTTTCGTTTTTCTTTCTTTGCTAAACTTCGAGAAATCTATCAAAAATTAGTATCAAAATCAGATATATGTATAACCAACCAAGACCCTTAGAAATGTCCTTAGTGAAAAAAAAGACTCTGATTAAATCAATTCGAGTTGATATTTGCTAGAGATAACAGGACGAGAATATGCAGGTCGATTTCAATTGAAACTTACAGTCGCATTTGGCGAAGAATGAAATTCATCATCGTTGCGAAGACTGATTTCAGTAGTATTTTGTTCATTGATTACATTATTGACGGAGTGTTCTACCGTTGTTGCTGATTGATCTTCATCAGTAAAACTGATCGACTGGATGTGTTCGTCGATGTGCGATTCTTTGGTTTCATCGGTGGTGCTTATGAATGCTTCTTTAACTGATTTTCGAGACTTTCGTCGAGTTGTATTACTATTTGTGTCTGTCGAACGTAAAGAAGCTGAATTTTGTCGTTGTTTTGTTGACGAGTTTCCATCAATAAACATAACAAGTTCATCGACGTCACGGTCGCCCCGATGACCAGGTATTAGTTCTGTTCGGATAGTTTCTTGCTGTTGCAACTACAAACAAAATCAATCCTGATCTCATTCTGTAATCGAGGGAGAATTTGTCATACTTGTTTGCGTTTTTTACTCGTTCGAGTGTTTGATTTTCGCGATGAATTAGAATCATTGGTATTATATTGATCATAATGTTCCGAATTCCTACGGCGAGAATAAAGTAAATATGAATTCGACATCGATTTCGATGTTTCACTTACTGATTCTGCTGACTAGATGATAGTAGATTATTCGCTTGAGGTCGTTGCGTTGTATAGGAAAGAATATCGTTACTCGAATGATTATTGCTGTTTGGATCTATCAAAGAAAAAAAGACGAAAGTTGTTTGGATTATCAAAAAGGCAAAAAAAAGCTAAGACGCAATATCGCTCATTGCTGCTCATCTTACCACCGTTCGAAGTGTAATTGAAAGTATCGGATAGTTTATAGTATAAGAACATTATTAGCGGCCGAGGCCGTAGACTGTATAGATCTGGCATATCCACCTGGATATTGAACGACACATGATGGGTTTCGAGTGTGTATGTATATATACTTTCTTTTTTCTCGTTAGTTGGACTGGATGGATGATGATGACGTTAAAGGAGTGATAATTATATTGAAAAATGAGATAAGAAAGTAAAAAAAATCGAAACGGCTACTACTCGGTCGGTCGTTGTCGACGAAAAGAGAAAGAAAGAAAAGATGGTGTGATGGGATGAATAGCATAGTGTCGTACTTGTGCAATAGAGTATTTCTCGCTTCGTTCGTTCGGTTTTTTTTCTTTTCTCCTTTTCACATATCTTTCACATCGATTTCGATGATATAAAAACAAGAGTATGACTCAGATACTTTTTCGTCCAGTTATTTCAAAATCGTCAGAAATTACTCGCCATTCAATACATCATCCATGCGAAAAGCGAAAGAACAACGAGGCGAATCTCATATTTCGTGAGCAAATGCGACCAATCCTTACCTTCAATCGCTGACAATTTGAAACGAGGTAGTTGACTAGCACGTAAATGATGTTCATTACTTGAAGTTAAGTGAACTAATTCGTAACTATCTTGTGCAGCTAAATCATCCAAAAGATTCAAATGAGAGTACGGTATCGTTTTATCAATGGTGAGACTTACGTAAAGTTGAAACACGATCATGTTGAGCCGGTCGATGATCATTTGTTGAATTCAGCTAAAGAGAAAACTTTAAGGGAGAAACCAATTGAATGTTGAATACAAACCATTATCGTCGGTATCGCATCATTTTGAGACGATTTAGTTGTAGATAATAAAGTTGGTTTTGTTGCTGAGAATAGTTCAGTTTTCTTCGATAGGCGAGAACGACGTTCATCGTCACTATCTGAAGCGGAACCTGTTCGGGCACTTCCACTATTTTCGGATGAAGATTTGGTTGCTATTGAAGAGCCGTGGGAATCAAAATCATTGTTAACAATTGCTTTACTTCGTTCACGCGGCAGAAGTTGAGATTGAGTTGAGTCAGTTTTGGCTTTTGATGACATTGAAATCGAAGCTGTTGATGATGAAGATGATGAACGAGAAGGTTGCCGATCATCTTCATCCTTCCTGGAAAAATAATCTAAACTTGCTTCTTCATGATATTGATTGGCAAGCGATTTCTTTTGTTTCTTCATTAAGTTGTTTAAATTTGTATGCGATTCGTGGACATCATTCGATTGTGATAAAGTAGTGCGAGTGTTGATACTACGAGGTTTTGGAGTCGGTGATGAAACTCTCGCCTAAAAACAAAACCGGCAGAGTGAGAAAGAAGAAGAAAAGAAAAGAAAAACGGGATACAGCGTGGTTATTCGTCGTTCTGTGCATTAGTGATACACCTATCAGCAGCCCATAAATCAACAATGGACTAGTTCTTTTCTTTTCGTATACGTTGAACTCGTGTGGATAAATGTGTGTTTACCTTTTTATAATCTTGAACTGAAATTTCCATGGATGGTTTGAGATTAAGCTGAACGAAGGAATCGACAGGTATGTGAGTTCGATTATTAGTTGAGATCATATCTGGTGAATTATTGTTATTATTTGTTATCGATTGAAGTTGACGAGTTGAATTTCTAGAAAATAAAACGATCGTTTTCTTCTTCTTCTTCTCCTCCTCCGAATCGATGAAACTTACTTGGATGAGTTTGAGGAATGTTTGGATGGTAAGTCATGTTGTTCATCACATGCGAGATTATTTGCTGTTGTTCTTTCTAAATGTTGTTTTTGTTGAAGGATTGCTAATGATGTTATACGGCTAGTCGAGGAAATGGTTTGATCCGTAGTATGATTATCATCATTACGAACTACTGGTGATTGCTTTGACATATCGTTCGTCGAAAGGTTCGATTGTTGCTGACGAGAAACGCGTTCGTAGAGTTGATCAAATTCGTTTTCATCAAGTTCTTGTAATTGACGAATAGATTCTTTGGCTTCTTCAAGCTGTAGAGATTCGTCATGAAAGATTTAAAAGAATTCTATCTAGAAAACAACGGAAAGGCCAACTGGAGTTTTACTCACTCGAGCACCATTCCATTCTGATGGTAAACTATCGTAGAGATGAAGAAAGTGTTCTGTTTGTTCTGTACGTAGTAATTTAGCTAGTTCGAGACAATGTTGAGTGAAAAGTGAATCTTCTTCGTCGTCATCATTTAAATTCATTTCATTTTTTAACAGTAGAGGCTCACAACGGTTCGATATGTCGCGAACAATTGCAGTTTTTATATGTTTATATATGTGTACGTATGTATGTCTGCAATAGGCTATCTTCAGTTGCCATCAACCATGTACGACGACCTCTAGATATCCATATGAGAAATAAGAGCAATACAATCAATGCGAAATGACTATCCGAATGCGAACTGTTCAGGAACGAAATATAGACACCTGTTAGGTGGTATGTATTTAGAGCGAAAGAACTTCGTTGGGTTTTCATTTCAATAAACCATGCATATATAGTGACATCTGCACGCGTAACCGACATATCGTGTTAATTTGACACGATAGTATCGAGTCGGCTCGTTTATCAGATTCTTTGATGCTAAGCGTAGGTAAAGAGTACTATCATTGCAAAACATTTTCCTATGTCCCTGAAACTTCGTGCGTATGAGATACATATTTGATAATGATCATTAAAGTATATCGTAGTTATAAAACTTTAATTTCTTTTTAGAACAATATGAGAACATCCATTGAGATTCTCAAGGAGAGGAGAATAATGTTTGCGAATAGACTCAGCATACAAATATCTTTCTCATAGATCCGTGACAATTAAAGTGAAGTTATACGCTGAGTATTCCACATCGTAAACCACTGAGCTTATTATTCCACAAAACGTGATTTTATCTTTCCAGATAGCATCTTGCTAGTTGTTTCTATTAAAAAGCATTAATTTATAATTAGCCAGTACATCATGATATCACGTTACGCTAAATATAATGACGAAGAATGAATAGATTTCCTAGCGAGTTCATACTAATTAAGGTAGTCTTCAATGAGTAGGCGAACGGATATTAGCTAGGTGACCTAACGAATAATTGTGAGCAATTTAAATGTGGAAGAAAGAAAGAGCATCCGTATTTGTACTTGTTGAGAACGAAACAGTTGGCCGTGTGACGTTAGGCTCCTAGCACCAATCATGGCAAGTGCACCTAATTTCAAAGAATGCACCCGACGAAGTCACATATCTGATATTCGAGACCAATCTTGATTATTTTGAACACTCGATTTCACGATAGTAGATATCAATTGTTTTATGTCGATGTGCGTGAGTACTAGTTGCTTCTTTTTGAATATTTCACTGTTCATTTTCAATGATAAAAGAACATGTTCGTACAGAAACCATCAAATTTCAAGGGAAACATACAAGCAAAACACTGTTCAGCTATTGTCTGCAGCAAAAATCAACAACAAAGATAACTTACATATATATATAGAGAGAGAGAGACAGAGAGAGCGAGAAAGGTAGAATCGTACAATACAAAACAAAATATATAATACTTTACAAATGGTGACAATCCTCGATTGTCAATTCGAATTCAAATCAATCAAGAATGACATGATAGTTGAGCAACAAAGGGGAAAGGAGATATAGGGAATTGTATGGACAAAATAGAGATAATCGGGTACCCGTCACATCAGTTCTATGAAACTAACTTATCTAGAAATCACAGTTATTCGAGAAAATAAAAATAAACTATACAAAGACTAAGAATACATTCAATATGGATAAGTCGTACTATGATGATGGTGGTGATTAAAAGAAGATGACGTTGTCATTGTTGTTGAGTTGTTGGTTGGATCTTGAAATGACACATTCATATATGAATGCACAGATAAGAGTGGATTGTGAACCGGGGTGTACGAAGGTGGAGGAGTGAGGAATTCTTCGAATACAGGAGTTTTTACTCTCGGATTTGGATCGTGAAATGAAGCTGTTGCTGCTTGCGGTGAATCGTATTGCAAAGATGACGGTCTATAGGCCGGTGAAGCAGTTCGTTGATGTGGATACCCAGATGAATAATAGGATGCCGATGGTGAGGGCGTCGACGAATTGTATAGTGATGAAAGTGGTGAGGGAATTCCTGATGGACTATGATTATCCATTTGCATCAATCCAGGAGGTTTTGGTGACGACGATGAATGAAATACACTGCTAAGCAAATCTTTCTGTTCGATATTATTCACTGCGATGGCTGTCGCTGATGTTGACTGTTGACTTTGTCGTTTCAATTCAAGCGTACGAGCTAAATGTTTGCTTTTAATTGTTTCCAATTGAGCTAATTTATTAACAACAGTATTCTAGAAAATAACAGAAACACTGAAATCGAACTTGGTTTCAAAGAAAAACTTCGTCTTACTCGTTTCAATATGTCACTCGCTTGACACCCATTAGCGATTTCCTGCGCTCGAGCTGCTTCCAATTGAGATTCTAATTTAGCTTTAGCTAGATCACAGGACAAATCAGTTATCTTAATAAATATCCAAGGAAACTTACCTGCTTTATATTTTCTGATAAAATCGTAGTGTTGTTGTTGGTACGATTCAGGAGTCGGTGTAACCTGATTCATCTATGTAATCATATTGTGTCAATAAGGTTCATATGGATTCCATGCACTCACCTTTGTTCGATCTACTTGCATCTGCGTTTGGGGAATAGAAATTCTCGTATTATCATTTAGAAGTCCTGCCAATGTTGTTGGCAGATCACCTGAAAACAGGCAAAAGAATCAGCTCTGAATCAACAATCGATTCTTTTGTTCGTACCGGATTGTTTTTCATGATTATATTGAATCGAATTACTAAGTATGCCACGTACAATCGAGTCCGAATCCTGTTTTTTCCGTAATGATGAATCATTACAATTCATCAACGAATCCATTGGGAATTTTTCTTGTGCTGTTCCATCTACAAAACAGTCGATAGATCAAAATTAACCAAATTTCACCGTTTCGTACCTGAAAATTCCGTTTCATTCGTAAACTGATTATTATTTGCATTACTCAAACGTTTGTAACGTGCAGGTAAATTATTGATTATATAGGCTAATTCACTATCCAGATGTTTATCACTATCGATCAGTATCGACACATAATCTTGAATAGTCAATGGATGTGTTGGTTTCGCCGCGCCGAAGATATTTCCTGTCACATTCAATGATTGTAGTTTATTCGTTGAGAAGCACATATTCAACGATGGAACGCAGATACGACATTCATCTGAAGACATCGACAATGCATCCGTATCGCTCGAATTGACTAAAAATAGTCACTTGATTGATAAACATCGAATTTAGATCAAACATACTTAATTTAAACGATGAACTATTTCCTTTGATATCTGCTGCACACTGATGACGCCAAGCTGTTTGTAATTCTTCAAATTGTATTCGTTGCATTGGACTAGATTAACGCGTTGGTTTTCCAAAGAGAAAAATTTTCAATGATGATCTCTCACCTGAGTATTTCATTTCGAGCAACAATCGTATCCTGTTTTCGATGATTGGCAATCAGTTTATACTCAGTTTGAAGAAAAACAATGGAACCATCGCGAGCATTTAAACGCCATTGTAATTTACTTGCACCAGTTGTTGCACCTAGCCAAAAGAAAAAAGCAAATTTCAATTAAATATTCAAAGAGACAAGTATTCTTTTTTTAACTTGCATTTCCAAAGTGCATGCAATTTAACTAAACGATCTTCATGGTACACAAAATTAAATATTGACTGTGATATTAATTCGTGTGGCAAATAACCGGTTATTAAAGCACCCCTAGAAAAAAAAACAAACCATATGGACATGTAAGTCATTTATACTAATTGCACTGTTCTGTTTCTCGCGAGACAACAATTGAATTCTCTGACATATGCAACTAGCTAGTTCTCTTTTTTTTTAATTTGCCAAGTGTTCAACTCAAGGATTCTGTTGTACCTGTGATCTTCGAATATAATTTCACCGACTAAATTAACTTTTGTATAGAATTCTTGTTTATGAGCATCGAATAATGTGATGTCAATATAGGAGGAATTGTCTACGGTTAGGACGAGAATTGTTCCGACGGAATTGCTGTGTCGAGGTGTTGTTGAATGAACGTCTACGTGTAATCAGAAGATAGATGTCAAGTTTTTAGATGAGACTGATCTTACCGACGGTATCTTGATTGACTTTTCGTTTTCGATGTACTTTCACTTGTCGGTATTCATTCGCTGCGGCCATGACCATTCGAACACAACAGATATTGAATACTGGGCGACACGAACGAAATGTAAGAAATCAAATAGAAAAAAAAGTTCTTACATTGGGAAGTATCGGATAGAAATTTGAGAAATGCGTCTCGTTCACTATCTTCAACCAGCAGTAGTATAGAAAGACCGACAATTTCTGTCTGAAATCCCAATGAATTTTACTTTGTATTCAAATCGAATGGAAAAAAGACAAACTTGTTCAAAGCCGAAATAGCGCTTGACAGTCTGCGAAACATCGATAATAATATGTTGACTATCAAGACAAATTAATGTGCCCTGCATGGCGTCAAGCAACACACTGCCCATTTCGTCTAATGCTATTTGATTTGGCTGACGTTGCTGTGCGTATGCAGTTAAGTCGACTACAATGAAACAATTCTCATCCGTCGTAAGAGAAGATACTCATTCAGTGAACTTACATTTGTTTCCATCGGACATTACGCAAATGAATAGCGCATTGCTACTAGTTTGATTTTTTGTATCAGTCAAGTTATCGAAAAGAAAAGCAAGAAGAAAAAATCGACCGAAAATAAAAGAACAAGAATAATCTAGTCGATGAATTGATGAAAACGTTCCTTTGACTGGCTGCTGGATATTTTCGTTCTTTTGCTTTCTATAATTTAAATCAATCCAAGTCAACACCAAGCATTGTTCTTCTCTACTTACAATCTTTTCGTTTCTCACTTCGCATTTTATCTAGTTTTTCTTGACAAATGAGATAATCTGAAAAAAAACAGAATGTTATTCAACTTTTCCCCTTCCTTGAATATATATATATATGTGTGTGTGTTGCAAAAAAATCTGCTTTCACGTGTATGGCGCACACAATAACTGTTTGCATACATGTGTGTATATTTTTCTTTCCCTTTCTCTTTTCCCTTGTACTCGATTCTCAGGCATCAATAATGACCTAAGAAACGAAAAAAAGGGCAAAGAGTTTTGAGAAAAAGAACGCCGGTTTTCGATTTATATTTACCTACCTGGAAAGGCGAGAAATCTTTCGACTGATTCGAGGAAAATGACGATTGGATCTATCTGCTTACCTGTTCACATGCATATTTTTCTGGTTTTAGATCGATTCTTCTATACAACCTACAAAAATTTTTAGTATCAGACGCGTTAAATGAAAAAAAAAATCATGACGAACGGAGGGAGAGTCACACTCATGTGCCGTACGTGTGTAGTCGCTGTGTTTTGTCCTACTCGTTCTTTTTTCTCTTCTGCCGGTTTCCTGTTGTCGTCAACGTTGTTGGTTGACAGAAAGAAAAAGAATCTCCGATGAACATTGTGTAAGTCATGTTGTAGCAGTGTAGACATCAATGACAGGTTGTGCGCATCATTGCTTGAACAAAGAGGAAAATATATTTTCAAGATTAGGTAGATGGTTCTAGCAGAGGAAAAAAGAGCTCGAGTACAAAAAAAGAAATGTACTGCAGACTACACTGAAATTCAAGCGTCTACAGTGTTTTTTTTCGTCGCTTACGCCTCTTTTCTCTCCGAACTGCGAGATGAATGAAAAAAAAAGAGTCTTATACTTAAATCTCCCAGATTATATTAGTCCGAAAAATAAAGGAGGAAAGAAAATGGAAATTTCTCATGTTATTTCTTCGATTCTCTTTGGTTAATAATGATGATATAAAAATGACAACTTTGGTATCAGTAGTTTCTCACACCTGAATGTATCTGCAAGCAAATGAATGACATGTATAAACGAGACAAAAAAAAAGGAAGAAAAAGAAAAAAACAACTGAAAGACATCACACAGATGAGCATTTAACATTAAGCAGATATTTTAAAGAGACGAGGAAGAGAAAAGAAGGAGAGAAACATTATGATGATTGTGTATGCTGATGACGGCGGCGAGGAAATAGAAAAATACCCTTCTTTTCAAGAGCATCTTCTTCTAGTTCATTAACTGTTGCTTTTATAGATAATTTCTTCCTTAATAATAGATCATCAGTAATCTGAATAAATTTTAATGTTTTTTCACTCAGTTCAATTCGATACTCTGTCGGTAAATCTTCGGAGTCTTTTAATTTCTCTTGATTGATTAACATTTGCTTGGCAAGAAGATTCGTGTTCGGAGTAAATCTTAGATGTTGAACATATAAGGATTGTTTGGGATGTTTATCTTTATCGTAATTGAATCGTTGTAGATCATCGCTAATATCAACTTGAAAGTTCTGTTCATTGCCGTGTAATTTGACTCCAAGTTGAACCGGTGATTTGTCAAGATTGAGACAGTATTCCACACCGCAATCAGGATTTTCGACAGGTGGTGTTACGGATGTGGAACTTGGTTGAACAATAGAACGCTTTGATTGATATACACGAGAGAAAAAACTTGTCTTTTGTTCTCGTTGCTGCTGTTGAGATAAACGATATTGTTCCATAAGATATGGCTGACAACGTAAACAACCCGAACATGGATGTGAATAGAGAATTGCCGGTTGTTCGGAATTGACTATCGATGCGTAGGAATTTGTGATAAAATGGTAAAGAGATGAAATTGGATATTTCAAGTAACTGAAATACCACAGACGTTTTTGAAGTTGCTCAAGCCGAGAATAATGACCGAAGTCCAATGTGCTTGCATAACTGAAAATGTTCAAAAGAGAACCGATGAAATTCGTTCTTCTCTGTATGTGTTAGATTCATTAAACATATTGTGAACAATGTCTCTCATGGATGATCACAGTAATGCAAAAGAAAACATTCGAAGCTTATCTTTTAATCTTACACGAGCTCGATTTTCTTTTTGGAAAAGCATCTTCTAAATTATACATGTATCCCACTTATTATTCCGACGAGCCGAATAATTATAGCATTGAAATCTATACTAATGTATTCGTGGGAGGATGAACTAAGAAACACCATTCGGTCGTCAGCGTTGAATCTATTAACTCTGAAAGTTGATGTTCACGGTGTTTTCTCCTTCGCAGAACCCATTCTTGTTTTGGATACCGAATTCTCTCATCTAATCTCTCGTAATGATTGTTTATCTTGTCTTAACATACATAAGTATTTCGGCAAGTAACTAATGAAAAACACTTACATTGGTTTTTCATCATTCTCTGATGTTGTAATTTTTAATAAAGACCGTCGAACAATTGTTCCATTGAATAAAGCAAAGACAGATTCACATAGTAAACTGACATCGTCATGAAGTTTCTTCTTGGTTGTTGTGGGTAACAAACTGCGTGCAAATGAAACATGTTCACCGATAGGTACCACACAAATTGGAAGATTTTCTAAGACATTCGATTGAAAGAGATACGGAGCAAGTTCACTCAACGTTCCATCACCGCCAACAATCATCAATGCGTTTAATTCATTAGGTTCAATTTTATTTGTTAGAAGATCAGTCAAACCATTTGGATCTGTAATTGTATCCACACGATAAACACGCACGTCAAGACCAATTAAATGTAATAGAGGGAAAATCGTTTTATCGTAGAGTGATTTGGCTTTTCCATTGTTTGCTTTTCCATTCAATAGAACAGCGACACGGTTTAATCGATTCATCGACGGATATGTTTGCGACCCTAAGATGGAAGCTTGTCGACAATAAAACGCACGAATTTGATTTGCTTGATAACGATCGTACGACCATTTCGCACCGTATGAAATCGCACAAAAAGCAAATACAGACTTTTTCCAATGATTTCGCAACGTACGAAACATATCTCTTAATTATCTACAATAGATAACAAACAAATTTATATCTGATACCGGTACAGAAGAGAAATCGTCAGCAAGATACGGCTGGAACCGAAGTTGTCATCGCTATGGTTTGATTTTTCGACGAATTGGAAAATGAGAGAGAGAAATAATTAATTGAATCATACAAAATGTGTTTTATTGAAAAGTTTAGTAATAAAATTCTGGAAAACAATACAATTCAATGTCATTTTCAAAATAGATTTACAGTTTAAGGTTAACAGCGTCATCTATCAGCTTCTGTTGCCGCACCCTCATCGATTCTCATTAATAAAAAACTGACTATATGTAATTGATTTATTTGTCAAAACGATTCAATAATTCGGTTTTTGCATTGAGTAACAATTTAAATGCATCTTCACTTCCAGGTGCCTCACTTTTGTCGGGATGTAGCAATTTTGCTAAGCGTTTATAAGCGGCTAGGACGTCTTCTTTCGTACAACTATGTTTTAAACCTAAACGCTCAAAATTGTCTTTATTATTTCGTAACCGATTGATTGCTTCGACTTGTTCGATAGTGAAATTGACATTGGGAAGAGTAGTATCAGGTAGAACACCACCATTCTCATTGGTATCGATCAGAACAGAAAATAGATTGTCAAACATTTCTTGAACACCGGTACCAGTTGCAGCTCAAAAGACAAGAATCGATAGACTGTTTGAGATCTGTTTGTCATCAAAAGAATAGTACCTGATGTTTCGAAATATTGATAACCGCGAACATTTGCCCAAAGTTTGGCTTCATTTTCCTCTACCGTTCGTTTCAGATCATTTTTATTTCCAATAACAAAGACAATAACCGACGATTTGTGTCCATTGCTATGAAGACTTAATTCTTTCTTCATTTCTGTAAGCCATGACTCTAATGATTCGAATGATCGACGGTTACTGACATCGAAAACGAGTAATATGCCTTGAACGTCACGATAAAATTCATTTCGAACTTCATAGAAGAGTGGATGACCAGAAAAATCGAATATATTCATTCGAATATCATAGTTTCGTATACGTATTCGTGTCACACCATAGTCAATACCAATCGTTGCCATATATTTCGGTACAAACCGTTTTTCACAATACCGTTTGATCAGACAACTCTTGCCGACATTCACATTGCCGAGACTGATAACTTTAAAACGAAGAAGTTGATCCGATTTCGTGGTCATTAAAAACTTTGCCTGTAACTAGTGTAATTCACTTATAAACAAAAGAATTTCAATCAAATTCTATGTAAACCAAGGTGAGCACGAGGAGAGGAAAAGTAGAATTTCTATTTCTATTTATCTTATTTTCTTTCGTTTCCTGTTGTAGCTAAGGTAACAGTAAACGAACGAACGAACGAACGGGAAGAATCGTTCACCGAATGCGATAGATGGAGATAGCGTTTTAGGCTTTCGGAACGTCATGCTTAGCAGTAAATATGTCGATTCAAGTGTAACTGGTGATGCTATTCAAGGTTTATACGATATGCAACGATGTGATAAGAAATAAATTGTACAATTAGCGAGTTTACACGCACAAAATATGCCTGAAGTCAGTTTTGTCATTAAAAATAAAAACATTTAAATTAATGGCAAACTCTGATTATTTTGACATGCCTGCAGCTATGACTGTTCAATTACTCGATATTAATTTTATATGTGCAAGGTGTTTGTACACAACCAGTGTGTCGATTAAACGTAGTGAAAGAGAATAATTGTTATGAATGTGAAGGCTATGGTATTGACAATTCATAAAAGTTAGTTAACAAATCTTGGAATTGAAATTGTCAGATTTTAAGAGCATTACTTTTTCAACCAAATGAATGAGAAATCATTGATAGAGCTAATCGCGATATGTTAAAATATTTTGTATCTGTGTTGTAAATATGATGAGAGTGGAGTCCTTGAAAGAGATAAATTAATTAGTTTTCTGCTTTCACGGGAAGATTCATATATTTTGAGTTATTGAAAAAAAAGCGAAGAAAAGAAAAAGCCCTTGTAGACAGAAAAAAGAAATTGATCATGTCTGTATAAATGCACACAAACACATTTAATAATGTTTGTTATGACATCATATGTCCTTGTTAAATAGACAATCTTTCTACACACAAGGCTAGAACATGCATGTTGTATGTTATGCGACCAAATTGATTGGCAGAATGTTCAGGTGTACGTAAATTACACCGAGTTGTAAACTAAAAGACGTATGTGCGGGGAGAAAAACCGACAACGATACGCATATTAACGTCGAAAGAAAAAGAAACCAGTCATCGGTAACGGTAGGCACACCTGAGAAGTAAATTTTTTCTTTGATTAACGCGGTTAGAAGGTGATCATGTGAGAAGAAAACAAGTATAAATTGAAGGAAGATTTGCTCTAGACAATTATGGGAGGTCTCTTTAGCAGGCGAAAAACTCAGTATGATCCTAACTTCTACAATGATCCGTACTATCCGGGCGCACCAACGGGTCTGCCAGGTCCGTATTCCTATGCGGCCGGGCCTGATCCATACGGAGGATTAGGTGGATATGAGCCCGATCCGTACGGTTATGGTTATTATGGAACTGATCCATTTGAAACTTATGGCGGACCCTACGGACGTGGTTCAAATTATTATGGTGGTCGATATGGCCGAGGTAAATTCAATTGAACAAAAGAAGAATTCTACGTTCGTCTGTATATAGGTTATAATCAAATGGGTGGTATGTCTCCTTGGAACTATGGTAACTTTTACTTAGGAAATACTACTATGCAAATGGTACCATACATGCAACGAAAATTAGCCAAATATGCTATGCGACAAGGAATGGGTGGTTTCGGTGGCTTCGGTGGTGCCTGTATGCCTATGATGCCCTGCATGCCAATGATGCCTTGCATGCCATCGTGCGCTATGCCTGTGGCTTCACCTATGATGGCAATCGCAGCACCATTACCTGTTGCTTATAATCCACTTATTCAGGGAATGTATCCCGTAGTGACAGCAAATACAGCCAATTTCATGACACCCTCGTCGTTTATGTCTGCTCTAACAACGGGCCCAATGCCTTATCGGCCACCAGCATCCTTTGAATTACCGAATAACATTGGTATGGTTATGACTGTCCCCTATGGTGCACCGAATCCTCTACTTGCCACACCAACATTTGGTGGTTTTCAGCCCCAACTCAATGGTGCTGGTGGATTCTCATGCTGTTGTAACTATTGTACACCTTGCGCACCACCACCACCTACTATCACTTATTACCCACGTCCAGTATGTGTTCCCCAACCATGTCCTGTTCCATGTCCAGTTCCAGTTCCCATTCCTAATGTTCAGCAGGTACCAGTTCCCAGACCTGTCACTGTTGTCGCGCCACCGATAGTTGCTGGTTGTAATCAACCTCTAAACATACCTGCTGGAGCACCATTATTACCATCGCAGGGTGGATTTACACAAAACGGATTTGGTCAAACATTAGTCATGCGATCAAATGATTCAACGTCGGAAACAGCATCGGTGACATCTGATCAGTCCAAGCGCGAAACATTCGTTCCAAAAACGGTTAAAGATACGCGTCGTAAGAGAGCCCAAGAAATAGCTGCCAGTCTGTCTAATCTTGGACTGAATACTAGTATAAGCACGGAAACGACGTCAAGTCGACGCAAAAATCGACCGAACTCAAAATACACTTCCTGTAACTTTGATTCCTTAAATCTTTCGAATGCAAATGATCTCTACGGTTCCGACTGGTTAACATCCGATGCGTTAGTCGATATTCTTGATAAATCCAAACACAATCGACATAAGAAATCAACTGTGCGTCATTCTCGCTCACATAACCATAAAAGTTCATTCCGATCCAACCATGATTGTGCTGCTTGTCAACAGGAACATCTTGATTTACTCACTTAGTTGATTTCACGAATGATTTCTTCTTTTCATCAAATATTTTACATTAAACATCGTTTTTTCCTTTATTAGCTTTATCTCTTTTCTAATAATAATAATAAAATACACACGAAAAAAAACACAGACTGCATTTTTTTTTCATTGAAAACATTGCAACGAACAACGATAATATTCTGTCGAACAAATATCATATTCACTAGGAGGGAAAAGGATTGTTCGATTTTCATATAAATAATTCAAAATATGTTGAATTCGACTCAACAACAAACCGAATTCATCGCGATTGCTATTCGCACTCATATCACGTAACAAATCTTTAATACGCCAAAGAAATCGAAGTAAATGCATCGAGCCATAGTAATCACAAAGGGATATTGACGAATCTTTTTCTAACAATTGTCGCAGTTGTAAACGTTCAAAACGATACAATAAACATTTGCCCAGGGCGATGTTAAACATGTCAATTAACGAGGAAATCAGTGTTCGAATAGCGAGTACTTCGGCTAATGAACATTCGTTGATTTGTTGATCGAGATAATTATTGAAAATATTTCGAATGATCAACGATGAATCGAGTGGTGGAACTGAAAGGAGATAATTCTGATTGTTGATTAAATCACGATCGTTTATCAAGAATTCGACTAGTTCGGATGGAAAATGTAGCCATTCCATTTGATAGGTATAGAATCGACGAGTTAAGCGTTGACATATCTCATGTTGAGCAGATATGGTTGGTGATAAATCATTTACAATGATTGTCGTTGCTTCTGCTTCTTAAAGATATAAAAGAAATAAGAGGATTCTAATGAAACTTCGGCCTACTTTTTTCTTTCGTTGGTAGCTTTCCAGTTGTATTCACAGTTCGTTTGAATTTTTTTGCATCAGGTTCACTTATATCATTACTAGTTGCAGCTAACTCTGTGTTCGTGATCAGTTCACTGGTAGTACTACTGCTACTGCTGCTGCTTCCCGTATCGCTTCGTCCGGACAACGATGGTGTTTCTTCGAGAGGAAAATGACTATTGGTGTTGTTGGGTAATTCCGTAGTGGTCGAGTCGATATTCGTACTTGTCGAATGATCCGATATGGATCGACTAGTTGTTCGTTTCGATGGACTCGTACTGTTGTTCTTCCGCAAATTTTTCAGGCGTGCTTTGCCTTTTCCATGTTGGTGAAGTAGTTCTGCTTGTTTTTTCAAACCAGCTTCGTCCATTTTAACCAAACGAGCTTCATCTACCCATTCATCCCATTTCGAACTCCAACCGCAATAATGTACCAAATACGATGGACGATGGAAATTGCCACTATCGTTTTCCTTCATTTTATGATCCACACATTTGACTTCGTAGAGAAGTACGCCATGATAACAAAGCATGATTTCATTTTTCTTGAAACGATATTTTGTCGAAGATAATTCATTGTCAATTTGCAACACATCGATGACAGGTTCGACTGATGGATTGTTATATTCTTCTTCGTCTTCTTCTTCATCTTCATCGCCATCTTCGAGAATGCCTTCTTCATCCGACATTTCAAAGATCGTGTTACTATAGAGAAATAAATAAACTACGATTTCTGATGAATTTTCCTTCGAGAATATGATCTTTCAAAAAATAAGAAAGAAAACGACACGAACGATGATCATTATTCCGTTGGTGTGCAATGACTGCATAGCGCCACAGTCGATGTCGACCATATTATACGAACGTAACTCGTGCAGCGCTAGTTGTCTACGCGGATATTACTTTCTCGAAATATCTCTCAAGCCATCTTGACTTGAATCAACTGTAAAAGGTAATGATCATCCGACTAGAATGAGCGCGTGAATTCTTTTTGAAGCGCTTTATTAATCACTAAGAAAAATCGGAATAATAGTCTATTTTCAGTTCATTCCATCACTTTCAATTCTCTCTGTTTGCTGTATCTATTGTTCAAAACTAAAACTATCAATCTTGCGTTCTACCTTCTGTTCTGAATTTAATATCTTCAGTTATGATTATCCAGTATTTTCTTTCGTTTATTTTGGTTTTCAATATTTATCAACTGACAGTATTTACCGAAGGTAACTTCAAGCTTTCCCATTCTGACGACGGATAATTCATATGATTAATAAGAAAATGTGTTCTAATTATCCATTGCAGCACACCTTCTTACGTTTAAACAAGGCCATGATGTCAATGCAGAACATTTACAACGAAACGTACGATCGATTTTATCGCAGAATTATAAACTGATGAATGGCATGCACCGCGAAAAGCGACAAGATTCCGCCCAGAACACAAAGCCTACTGATGCAGACGCAGGTACCGGTGTGTTCGAAGCTGCACAGAACGACGCATCACAAGCAGTCCTAGGTAGGCATCAAATCCACTAGTGTAATTTTTGTCGTCACTTTATTCCACTTCGAATTTTCTCTGTCGGGTTAAAAATACAGTCTGTTCAATAACATAGCATGAGTAGTCATATATATTAAATCCACCGGTATATTTTCCACCCGACAACAAACAACATTCTCTCGCACTGATATTTTACATTATCCGGTTTTTCGTGTAACTTCTAAAAAGAAGCCTGTTGAGAAACAAACCTAGCTTTCACGTAACTAGTACTATTTCCAAGTAAAATCCTGTCACCCTACTCGATGCACTCATGTATGACATAACCTCTAAACCTTACCGTTGATCATTTCAACCGGAGAAGCGTCCAAATCCAAATCTCAGACCATCTATACTATCATGCACATCTATATTTCAATTCATGGAAAGACGTTTGTATTTCATTTCGCTTTAACACAGACTCCAAATAACGTTTCATCTTCCTAACCTTCGAACACTTCTCACGACTCCACATCCCATAGGACTGCCACTTTCTCTATCAAATATTTTCACACCAGATTATGTATGTAGTTCATGCTAGGTAAAGCCAATATTTCATATATTTCTGCAAACGAGTGATCGAAATTCATTCTCAATAATCGATTTAGCGAACTCTGTTGCGGCACAAACGCCTGCTACTTCTGACGGCGCAGCAGCGAACGGCCATTTGCCACCGGGTATGTCATTTTGTATTCATTTTCTTAAATTAATGGTGGGATCTAATTTTTAGAAACCAACTCAGTCAACTCTGTGATTAATTCCGATAATACCGCAGCGTCTGATGTAGCAGTTCAACCTCCACCGCCTGGTATGTGCCTAAAAAAATCATCTTCCTGTTCTGTTCATTCATTGGGATTCATGGCGACGGCTAATTTTGAGTATCGATTCAGTTGCACCTGCCATTGCAACTGTTGCTGCTCCTTCTCATATTGCAACATCTACCCATGGAGCCAATGGGCACCAACTAGTGGGTATGTATTTGTCGAAAGCATTCCTCATTTGTCACATATATTTGCATTGATAATGAGAACCTAAAATGGATAATTGGTTTAGTAAACTCTGTTGTTGCATCAACCAGTGCTGCTGCGGAACCTGATGTCGGCACATCTCCTAGCGCAGTTATCCCGCCCCTGCCACCGCGTACGTACTTGGAAAAACCGGTTCAAACCATACGAATTTATTTGATTTGGTCACACATATTTGCTGCAAATGCTTTATTTAGTGATGAATGTTGCTCCGCTACCAGTTGTGGATAAAACAACAGGTGCCCATACAGTGACCTCTCTTCTACCAGCAGGTAAGGACCTCGTAAAACATTAGCATGCTAGTTGGATTTCTTTCGATGAATCACGAAAATTTAGTGTTACCTTTCAATAATGGATTATCTGTTGTTGAATCTGTTTCTACTCCTTCTGGTCATATAATAGCGTCAAATTCTGCGATCCCGCCTCTAGCGCTGCGTAAGTTTTGTGGAGAAGGACTCTAGTGCCCTCGATTTGGTTGAATCAGTGATGTAAATTCGTTGTAATTTACTGTTATAGGAATTCCTGCCGCTCCACTAGGGAATGCTTATGATGCCACGACCATTTCAATTGTGGCAAGTGCACTTGACGCAACGGGTATGTATGATTATATTTTAAACTGGATGTTTATTGGAAACTCGTAGAAAGGATAAGACGTTTGAAAGATGGTTTTCGCACTGATATGGCTAGAATAAGCAATCTGGTGCACGGATCATTGCCAGCAAATGATAATTTGATTGTGAAACACGAACGGGCACTGGTTATGGCGTTTATAATGTGCTGTATGTGGGATGAAATCATGCATAAGGATCTGTGGCAGCGATACGTTGCAAGTTATTCTTCAAGAAAAACGAAAGCTATAATTGTGAATGTATGCCGTGAAAAACATTCTGCGCAAAATCTTGACAAGTGCACTCAGTCTATAAAACATGCAGATGCGATGAGGGGGGACATTTACAGGTCAGTGGATTTTTATCATGATACATAGTTATTGTATGCGAAATCCAATTCATCATTAGAAAGCTTCCGGAAGCCACTCGTAATTTGTTATTTTCAAAAGTTCAGGAAGCATTGGAACGATTTAGCAATTCGATGCAGCCGGTTTTTGAATATGAAAACGCAACGTATCCATTTTGCAGATCAGTTTTAATAAGTATTTGGGATCCTGAAGCAATACTTATGTGCGAAGAGAAGTATCGACTACGCCTGTTGAATGCAAACGATGGAGGCGATAGTTACGCGAACTTTCAAATCATTAGTTCCAGGCTGTTTGACGTCGTAGCTACTTTACTCAGCGCAATAAATGTATGTATTGATATCCCCTCCCCCTCAAGCACTCGTATAATAGACGACTAAGAGAGATATTTCTGAATCTGTCAAGAAATAAGGATTTGCTTTGGTATGCTGTAAAGGAGGAAATGTTAAAGATTGTATTGGATAGTGCAAAAATGGAGAATGTGACAATTTCGTTACTAGACATGTTTAGAATGGAAGTCTGCAGTATAAAAAATTTTTCACTTACTACTTTTTTTATTTTACTTGTTCAAAGTTTGCGGTATCGGTGTTTCTATATTTCGATACGTTTCTCTACAATTAAATTATAGTCAATCATTAGAGGAGCACTATCTTACAATAGACCATAGATAGGTTTTGCTTGACTTGCAGTCTTCATATTGATGGATTCCGAAAGTATTGAGTCGTAGTTTTATGCCGCCGTTAACTTTTTTTTAACAAGATAAGACATCAGTTTTTCGTATCGTTTGAATGTTGATATGTATTGTTATTTAGCTTGCTTGGAAAAACATATCGGACGTTCAAACTACAAACAAAATACCAGTGTCACCTGAAATCATTAACCAAGATATGGAGGATATGAAAGACAAACTTTTAGCATATACAGACGTAGCAGACAAACCGCTAACCCGCCATCTTTCAGTAGCTTCGGCAGCGTACGAAGAATGTTGTGCAGCAATGGAAACAGATGATCTCTTTAATGATTATTTGACCAATATCAATCATAATTTTGAACTAGTGCTTGATGATATATACTTATGGTTCGTCAATTTGCTTTCTTGATTTCGGATGAGTTTTGAATATGATTGCTTCTCTTAAGCCATAAGAAACTAGAAGAAATTCATCAAAGTAATCCGTATTTATATTTGACGTGTGACTTTTATTATAACCAATCGCAATCGACTATGAAGGAACGTGAAGAGTAATAGAAAATTTGAATTCATGAACGTTTTCTCGTTTGTATATACAGGAATCTTGAGAAATATAAAGATCAAAAAGAAACAATTCTTCACGCTTTTGAGAGCGCAATCTCGCCGAAGCGACCGCAAAGCGCAATTATAAAAGCAATGGGAAATATGAGTAGGAAATATTGTAATCAACATATATTCAAATTAATGTACTTACCACTCCAAATATGGAAGTGCGAAAAACAAATACGTGATGCAATTGCACAAAATGGAACTGAGCCTTACCAGCGATATGAGAAAAGTATTAGTAAGCCATTTCGTGATATAGTTCTCCAAGATTGGAAAAACCTCGAAAGAGCTGAGCAGAGCTTTACATTATCAAGTTCAATCGAAATTGTTACAAGTCAACCATTAAAAAACTTGTTTCATCCTGTAGCAATCATCACGCAGAGTCCATCTGTTGAGCCAGTAATTTACTTACTTTGCTCGAGAAGAGATCCATCCTTTTTTTAAAGCTCTTCTCAAATCCAGATAGCACACATGTTCCTGTCATAGCAGCTGCGTCTTCACATATATTTACTACTGAACACGCTCATACAAAGACACCCACGCCTGAAGCTACGACTGAGGTGGCATGTAAAGATGCAACTGAATCTGGAGGTAAGCATATCCGTAAAAATCAACTGGCGCAGAAAAATCACGATGCTCATAAAGATGTAATTATACAAAAAGCTCAACATAAGCATGAAATCGTATCTCAACAACCAGTCCAACCTGTATCTCAACAACCAGCCCAACCTGTATCTCAACAACCAGTCCAACCTGTATCTAAAAAATGGACGGGTAAGGTTACACAATGGAGTGAACATCAGCATGAAGCTAATGGAAACGCTATGCTTGCACATTCATCAAATGAAACAACTAAGAATAGGTAAATTATCATTGTCTGTCTTCGACTCATTACATTCAAATAAGAGTGTATTGAAGTACATAGCTATTAATCATTATAGTTCATGATAGCGTTATTAAATTTGAATTATGTTAAGCAGAGATAACATGTCATCGCCACATACGTCGGCTGATTCTAATTTCATACTGATAGAAGGCAAAATCTAATATATTTCTTTACTTTTCACTTTAGACACAACATGCTGCAAGCAGTTAACTCAGGCAATAATTCATCACCAATTTGTACGTTCTATCAAACTTTGACGATACTCTTCGTACTTTCTACTTTAAACGTTTTCTTTTGAACTTTCTTCTCGAATTTAACTAATAATTTCGAACGTTTTCTTTTGATTTTCTAAATACGGATCAGTTTTTGGTTACCGTTTTTTCAAAAATTTCTTTTATAATCATCAATTTATTTTAAACTGAGCGAAGAAAAACGAAATGAATAACAAAAGAAAGGATAAACGATATTGAACGTATACTGTTCTCGAAAAGAGAAGAAAATGTATATCTGCAAGTAGAACAACTACAAGTAATAACGTTTGCAAAAAGAATAGTTATGTATATATCCATGTTGAAATATATGTGTTGTTAAATTATGCTCCTTATTGCTTAACCGACGCTTTTGTACTGGTTAGCATTGTTCGGTTGCTTTGTATTAGATTTTGACTGCGTTCATTCGTTACACGCATTGCTAGAAAAAATCAGACTGATTCAGTAGTTAATCGTCTTTTCAAATAGACCTCCATACCGTATTGACATCGTGAGCCAGACCATCCTCTTGAACAGAAGCAACGAATACCTGCACCGTAGGCAAACGTTTGGCATACACCACGATTATTACATAGACTGGATGAGCATGTTGGATTTAATGTTGTTGTTGCAACTGATGTAGCACCCATTGACGAACCTAACGATCGAAGTAAACATGATAACATCAAATATATGAATTACTTTACCATCACAAAAAGGTCGTTGGTATTGACAACGAAGGCCACAATAGGGATATGGGCACGAACAGACATGATCGCCCAATGGCCGTTGTATACATTCACCACCATTGATACATTCTTCTCCGCTATCTAGACAGCTAAGCACTAAAACAGACCACCGTTTCAGATCATTCCTCAGTGTGCCGGAAACATTACGTTTTTCGCATCGATTGCCCGAATATCCGGGTGGACAGAAGCAGCGGAAGCCTTGCGAACTGGATGCATCGTTTTGGCATGTACCACAGATACAAGGATTTTTTACACCACAGATATCAACTGAAAAAAGAATATGTGCAGCTGTCATGTCGATAAACTATTGAAGGACATTACCTTGTTCACAATTCTGACCTTGGAAGCCTGTTGCACACTGACAGGTATATCCACCGCCAGCTGAACTGACGCACGCACCATTATTTTTACATGGTTGACTCGCACAACCATCTTGATCTTCACAGCGTGGACCACTGTATCCCGGCAGACATCGGCAGCTAAATCCTCCCAATCCATTTGATATGCACTGACCACCATTCAAACATGGATTTGGAGTACAAGCATCTCCTAGAAAATGCATAGTTCATCATTCTTTAATATATCTATGCTCACAACTTCATCTGCGTTGCCCTTTTTAGCATTCTCCTTCGACCAACTAGTCATCTTACTTGTTTCACAGCGCGGTCCACTATATCCTGTTGGACAGACACATTGGTATCCACCATTTCCATTGACTGGGCGGCATGTTCCACCATTCATGCAAGGATTGCTTTGACATGCATCTCGGATCTCACATCTCGTGCCAGTAAAGCCTGGTGGACATACACATCGATATCCACCGTTCTGTGGCGTGCATGTGCCCTGATTCATGCAAGGTTGAGAAGCACAAGGATCACCTGATAGAAGGTAAAATCAGCGCAAACATGCTCGATGGTTCTCTAGATAGACTTACGATCTTCACAACGTGGGCCACTGTATCCTGGTGGACACTGACAAACAAATCCGCCAAATCCATTTGATATACAAGTGCCACCATTCAAGCATGGGTTGTCGGCACACGCGTCACCTGTATTCGTATACGTCGTCGATTATTTCTCTACGATGCGCAATAGAAAACTAAACTTACGTATTGAACAGTCAGCACCTGAGTAACCAGGCGGACAAATGCACTGGTACGAATTACCGTTGACAGGTCGACATGTGGCACCATTTCGACATGGTTGACTTGTACATGGGTCAGCACCTAAACGAGAACTATTTGATTAGGAGGAATCGCCGTTGATGTTACAACGTACGATCTTCACAGCGTGGTCCAGTGTATCCGGGCGAACATTGGCAAGTAAAACCGCCAAAACTATTCGATGTACATTGACCGCCATTCAAACAAGGATTCTCTGCACATGGATCACCTGCAGACAATCACATATGTTCGTTTCTATCTTCTTTCTGTACGTAGTATAGCGAAACTTACGTATTGAACAGTCAGCACCTGAGTAACCAGGCGGACAAATGCACTGGTACGAATTACCGTTGACAGGTCGACATGTAGCACCATTTCGACATGGTTGACTTGTACATGGGTCAGTACCTAAACGAGAACTATTTGATTAGGAGGAATCGCCGTTGATGTTACAACGTACGATCTTCACAGCGTGGTCCAGTGTATCCGGGCGGACATTGGCAGGTAAAACCGCCAAAACTATTCGATGTACATTGACCGCCATTCAAACAAGGATTCTCTGCACATGGATCACCTAAAATGCATTATTTAAAGGTCGTAAGTACATTATGGAAGAAGGAAGTTTGTGATCTAGTATCAAATCTACTTACGGATCTCGCAATTAGTTCCGGAAATGCCTGTTGGACAAATGCATTGATAACTATTGCCATTCACAGGACGGCATGTGCCACCATTTTGGCATGGGTTACTTCCACAAGCATCCCCTGTTTTCAAAGTCTCCGATGATGATTATGACGTGCATAGATATCACTCACTTATTTCACAATTGGGGCCAGAAGTGCCTACCGGACAGTTGCAAGTATAAGTACCTGCGGCGATATTGGGCTGACAGCGGCCACTATTTTGACATGGATTTGGAATGCATGGATTACCTGGAAATAGTATCATAGTAGCATCGTTATTGTATTATCTTAGTTTAGATTACGAGTTTCACAGTTTCGGCCCGTGTAGCCAAATGGACAATTGCATGAATATGTATCGAGACCGTACGGACTACATGTGCCGCCATTCACACATGGATTCGGTTCACAAACTTTGCCTAAAGAGTACGCAAAGAGAAATAAATCCTGTTTCGGTCAAGAAGAATGCCCTACGAAATTCGCATCGTTGACCTTGAAATTCTGGTGGACATGTACAATGAAAGACACCATTTGGACGGGCTTCACACGTGCCGCCATTTGTGCACGGATTCGGCTGGCATACTCGACCTATTTTGATAACTCATTATTTTCCCCTTAAATCTCATTTCATCATACTTACGTTCACAGCGATTACCATAGAAGCCCAAATTGCATTCACAGTAAAATCCACCATTACTCTGTATGCATTGCCCATTACTACCGCAAGGATTATTTGCACAAGGGTTCGCTAGAACAAAGAAGATTTACGAAGACATACTATTTCGAACCTCTTCCAAACATACAATCTTCACAACGCGGACCACTGTATCCGGGTGGACATCGACAGTCAAATCCTCCTAATCCGTTCGCAATACATTGACCACCGTTAAGACACGGATTTTGAGCACATGGATCTCCTAAATAAATAAGTATTCCATCCACAATCTGTATGAACAGTAGATGGCAATCATTCATGCATACTATTTTCACATCGTGGTCCACTGAATCCTGCTGGGCAGACACATTGGTATCCACCGTTTCCGTTGATAGGACGACAAGTGCCACCATTCATGCAAGGATTACTTTGACATGCATCTCGGATTTCACATCTCGTGCCAGTGAAGCCTGGTGGACATACACATCGATATCCACCGTTCTGTGGCGTGCATGTGCCTTGATTCATGCAAGGTTGAGAAGCACAAGGATCACCTGATAGAAGGTAAAATCAGCGCAAACATGATCGATGGTTCTCTAGATAGACTTACGATCTTCACAACGTGGACCACTGTATCCCGGCAGACATCGACAGTCAAATCCTCCGAAACCATTCGATATGCACTGACCACCATTCAGACATGGATTTGGCGTACAAACATCTCCTAGAAAATGCATAGCTCGTCATTCTTTAATATATCTATGCTCACAACTTCATCTGCGTTGCCCTTTTTAGCATTCTCCTTCGACCAACTAGTCATCTTACTTGTTTCACAGCGCGGTCCACTATATCCTGTTGGACAGACACATTGGTATCCACCATTTCCATTGACTGGGCGGCATGTTCCACCATTCATGCAAGGATTACTTTGACATGCATCTCGGATTTCACATCTCGTGCCGGTGAAGCCTGGTGGACACACACATCTGTACCCACCATTCTGTGGCACACAGTTGCCCTGATTCATGCAAGGTTGAGAAGCGCAGGGATCACCTGATAGAAGGTAAAATCAGCGCAAACATGCTCGATGGTTCTCTAGATAGACTTACGATCTTCACAACGTGGACCACTGTATCCTGGTGGACACTGACAAACAAATCCGCCAAATCCATTTGGCATACAGGTGCCACCATTCAAGCATGGGTTGTCGGCACACGCGTCACCTGTATTCATATACGTCGTCGATTATTCCTCTACGATGCGCAATAGAAAACTAAACTTACGTATTGAACAGTCAGCACCTGAGTAGCCAGGTGGACAGATGCACTGGTACGAATTACCGTTGACAGGTCGGCATGTCGCACCATTTCGACATGGTTGACTTGTACATGGGTCATCACCTAAACGGGAGATATTTAATTAGGAGAAATTATGGTTGATGTTACAACGTACGATCTTCACAGCGTAGTCCAGTGTACCCTAGCGGACATTGGCAGGTAAAACCGCCAAAACTATTCGATGTACATTGACCGCCGTTCAAACAAGGATTTTGTGCACAGGGATCACCTAGCGTAGGAGTAGATCAATATACTCATCGCATTTTGTGTTCGGTTTAGAAGCATACGTGTTTCGCAAAGTTGTCCAGTGAAGCCAGTTAAACATGAACAGAAAAAGGAAGTTCCACTTGCTGTGCAAAGACCGTTGTTTTGACAAGGATTCGGTGTACAAGGATCGACACCTGTCATGTTAAAAACAATGCATGAGAAGGTCAAATATAGTTATTTTCGATTTTACTCACGTGATTCACAGCAAAATCCTTGGAATCCAACGGGACATTGGCATGTAAAACTTCCAGCACCATTTGGTTGACATGTTCCTCCATTTTGACACGGATTCGGTGAACAAGGATTTGAAGGCGGACTCTGTGTTATTGAACTACCTACAAATCAATGACATTGTTACTATTTACAACGAATAAATGTCTTTACTTACTAATGTCACAAGTACGACCTGTGTATCCAGGTGGACATGAACATCGAAAAGAGCCAGTTGGTTCGTCGAAAATACATGATCCACCATTTTGACACGGATTGGGGATGCATGCATCACCTATGATGTAACAGATCAATTCACAATTCACAACTACTTCGATACTTACATATCTGACAAGTAAGTCCTTGGAAGCCAGGTCGACATTGGCAGGTAAAACTGAGTAGACCTTGTGACTGACATGTACCACCGTTCATGCATGGATTTGGTATACAAATATCTCCTAAACAATTGAACGTATGCCAACAAATGTCAAAAGCAGCTGTTATTCAATTAAAATTTACTTGTTTCACAACTTAATCCATTGTAGCCGTACGGACATTCGCAAACATATGTTCCAAGGCCCATAAGACATCGACCACCGTTTTTACAAGAACAGCCGATATTTGATGCTATGGTAAAAAAAAATGAAAATCATCGAATTACCTTGAAATAACTATTAGCGCTTACCATACGTGCAATCATCTTGCCATGGTGGACATATGCAACTGAACCCATCTTTTGTATCAAGACAGATCGTTCCCGAAGGACACGGATCATTTGAACAATCATCATATCCTAATAGCAAATTGAAATTCGATCACATGTATCTAAATGCCCTTCGGATATATTTATCATACCACGAATAGATGTAAAATCACCGGAATTACATAGATCAGTAGAACACATACACCAATATTGACCATTATATGTAAGACAACCATCGACGAGCAAATCACGTACCCATTGCTCATCGGTACAACGTCGATCAGTAACTTAACAAAAAAGAAAACATGTATTTTAGAGTGTCTACGGTCTTTGTTTTCCGAAAAAGATAATTACGCGTTGCATTAGCATGTAAAGCTCGTAAATAACATCGTTGATTATAATGGCAAGGAACAATACATCGATTGTTGATGCCTGTGTCAGGTATATTCGGACACGCAAAGCAACGTTTATCTTCCTCAACTATCGAAATAGCTGATCGGCCCGATAACACTGACGGAATCACTAAAACATAAAGCGAAAGCTTATTTCCAAATACAAAACGATGTTTCGAAATAAACCTGATCGCCGCCAATGATCATTTGTTGTATTAGTCGGTTTAGCATGTGCATACGAAAAAATGAATATAAGGAATAGCCAGTGAATAATCTAATATAGTAGACGAAAATGCAGTCAGTTATATTGAACTGTGATTTACTTACCATTTTTTTCAAAAATATATTATGTCGTCAAATTGACGTTTATTCTCTTGATTTTATATCCTCTGCTTACGTCGGTATATTTAAAAGAAATTGCTATTTACTCGCTAGTCTATCCCTGTGCTGTTTGTTTCAAAGTTGAAGGTGTATCTCTTCCTTGTTCTTCATCTTCTTTTTCCTCTTTATTTTATTCATTGTTCACATAAACACTCAGAATGAGAATGACGAAAACCTTGATCAGGTCGCTATTGTTTGTCTTCTTGTTTTATTGTAATTTCAATTTCACAAAGGACAATTTGAGGGATGAGGGATTAAAAGCAAAACGCGCGTACGAGGAGAAAAAAACCCGAAGTGTATTACCATTTCACCTCTAGTTCATGTGAACAAGAAAATCAGATCTCTCAAACTATTTAATAGTAGATTAAAATAATCAACTGTAAGCAAGAGTAAAGCCAACAACATGTTGCAAAGAAAGTGTCCTTCATATCTATATGTCATATGTTAACTCGGTAGAGAAAAAGTTATCATACTACGAGATCGATTCAATTCTTCTTCTTCTTTTTTTCCGGTAAAGATCACTTACCATGATGAGAACACTTTCGAGATCGAAGACTGATGTTGATCAGATAGTTTGAGGTGTGATCGTAATACGATCAATTGCATAAAACTACGGTTAAGGTACTATTTTTTTCTTCCGCGGCTTTATCCAATGTCATATGTTGGATTGAGCAATGAGCAACGAAATGAAAAGAAAAGAGAGGGAGAGAAGACTAACACCTGATCATCATTATTGTCATGTTGCCTTGTAGAGGGAAGAAAAGAGGAATTAGGAAGTGTATGATGATACACCATTACAACTATATATGGCAATCATGATGAATAAAACTAATCACTGGCGACTGTTTGAGATAAGTATGAATGTACATAATGAAGGCGAACAGATTACTCAATGCGTAGAAGAGAGAGAGAGAGAGAGAGAGAGAGAGGGAGAGAGAGAAACGAAGTGCGTACGAGAGGTGGAAATAATATGAATGATGATCAGTGAGGGATTAGAAAGGTGTATATAAAAATAAATAAAATCATGTTCTCACGTAATTTCTTTCGTTGATCACTTGTCAATGAACTCAAATTTCGTTTTTTAACCCTCTGAAATGATGTAACACGCTCAAATTTCAAAGATATAAACAGTATCATTAGCAACGAGATATAAACACCGGCATAGTTCAATCCAATCTAATTTATTCATTATATAAACTTTTATAAAGAACAAAATTTGTTAATTTACTATCAAATATTAGAAAAAAACACGAGCATGTTCTTACATTGTCATCTTCCTTATCAGAGAGAGAGAGAGAGAGATGGATAAAATGTTCGTCGTTCACTCGGTAAGGTATCAACTGCATGATTTTCGACTAAGTTTCAATAGGAAAGCGGAAGAAATGAATAAATAACACGAAACATTGTTTTGCTTGATCATAGTACATTCACCGAAGGTATGTGTCTGCCTGATTTGTTTATACTTTTGTTCAAGGGCGAGGATTGTCACTTTCTTCAGAAGAGAGACATTTGCCTCTAATGTGTTTTTGTTATCAGATAAGGAAGACATGAATTTAAATGCGTTCGACGATCTCGTTCAATGTTTTATCGAACGTTTGTGCAGTTGATTGATGTTCATGTGAATGGTGAGGGTGTCTAACAGCTAATAGTGGTGAATGAGATTTCACAGCAAGTCGGGAAACTGTATTGATTTCATGGCTGATGTTGATGACATACTGTCGCATGAAATCTTCGAATGTTTCTGGAGAGGATGACGCATGAGTGTGATTATTCAATAAACTAGTTGATTGACAATCGATCGATGTCGAGGAGACGTTCAGTGACGACGAACCCTTTGTATTCGAATGAATTTCAAATGCATCGCGATGTTTAATATAGACATCGTAAACAAATCGCCAACATTTCTCGATTTCTTCGGCTTTGGGAAACGATTGACTTCCGAGACCTAGTTTCAAATCTTTATTAATCGACGATGGCCGACATAGAATCAGATGTATCTTCGGGATCTTCACACCGTTTTCATCCGCACGATAATAGAAACTATAATGTCGATAATAATAATATATACTGGACGGTTGAGAGAAACCATAAAGAAGACTAAAGAAGGAAAAGAAAAGACAAGAATCACTGCTTTGTCGTTGGCTTTTACTCACCTAAAAAGATATTCAAAACCATTGCGATGCAGATGATCCTCACTAACAGGTAGAATGATTCTGTCAACTGCAGTCAATGCAATCTCAGTTGCAATGCTAAACGATGAGTTCGTGTCGATAAATGTCATCAGTTTGATTCCACGACGCTCGCCAATTTTCTGTACAAATGCGCGTAAACTCTGCGTGATCGTTCGCCATGGATTCGTATATGGACTTATCGAACTGGCGCTACGTTTATAATCCATTGCTTTACCTAGTAATTCCAGTGAAGTGTCGCCACACAAAAGATACACCTAAATGAGAAAGTACGAAGACGTCCAAGTTGATCTGAATGTCTTACATTGCGAGGTAATTGATGATTATATTTCGACACGTTGAAAAGAAATGTTCGCGGGTCCACTGTTGTAGGTAATCCGACTGACGTGAATAAATCTAAGTATCCCGCGACCGTGCGTGGTATACGTTGCTGTCCGTCAAGTATCATTGGATCTTTTTTGAGTGAACCTATCTGAGAGACATAATCATGGCCTTCTTCGTCGTCACCTAGAAGCGGAAGAAAACAACTTCTTTTTTCTTCGAGAACAAAAGACGAAAAAAGAAAAAGAAAGAGACTAACGTGATGATTAGCCTAGAGAAAACATTTTCTGGCTATGACTATATTTTACTTTTTTTGACAAGTGCAATTTCAATTAATAATAGAATCCAAATCAAATAGAATTAATTTTTAATGTTAATCAACATGTATTAGACATAAGCACATTTCTCATTACCAACTTTGATATGCTTTTTTTTCCTGCTCATTGCTTGCGGCTCTATGCTTTTTTTTCTTCTTAATTAACAATCTTCATGCTTATTAATCAGTAGACAATATATCAATGAGAGACGAATTCGTCTTGAACTCACCAAGAAAGGCATGACTGAGATCAGCTTGTGGACACATATCAATGACAAGAATGGTTTTATCCGGATTTCGATATGCATATTTAATCGCTAAATGATAAGTTAAATTGGTTTTTCCTGATCCTCCACGATTATTCCATATAGCATAGCTTCCTTCCACTGGCATTTTCTAAATAGATATAAATATAGATAGAATTATCAGTGATCCATAGATGTTCGATAAATGTTTACAAAATCAATACATTCTCTGTGTCTATCTATGAGTAATGTTGGAAAGGGAAATTCTCGTGCAAACCTTGCCCGCCGGTGATGGAATAGGAGTCGTGAGTACTGCTGAAGCCATGGTAAGTTTTGTTATTTTTTGTGTCGATATTGTCTTCCGTCGATGAAATGATGTTAGCTGTCTGTCGTCAGTTGAAGTTCTCGACGAAAACGATGACAAGTAGTAGCAATCGTTGTCTTAATTAACTATTTGTACAATCTTATATCCGATCGACACTGTGCGCAACATCGACAGTGACATAGAGAAAACGGCATCACATCTCGATTTCCATTTTTTTCTCTTGACGATCGTAAAAGGAAAACTCAGCGATGATGATGTCTTCATCCGACGCCAAAGACAGAGAGAAAGAAGAAGAAAAAAAAAGAAATAGACTGATGCGGTCGATTGTCTTTGATTCGCTGTTCTCATTCCATCATATTATTTCCAACACAACAAAATACGAGCAAAAAGAAAAACCTGGAACTAGTTGTTCTCATCTGTTCTTCTTTAATGATCTTTTACTCTTTAACATATTTTCTCTTCAAATATGATGCACTTTTGTATTCTAGTCAGTTCGACAACATGCGATTCGACCAATAATCGCACGAGTGTAAATCAATTGACTGTCATTTACAGTCCTTTTGAAAATCTTTCCCTCTAGTTTTTTTTGTTCGTTTTTATCGAAGAAGAATAATTCGATTATTTCTTTCTCGTAAGCCAACGAAAGATCTAAATATACTCGTGCTTTCATATATAGTTAGAGTGATAAAACTCGTTATCTTCATTGAATACAAGAAGACTTGTGAACTAACTATAATATACAATTATGCTAATGATAGTTGACGAGTTCCGGACAAGGTTGAACGCATTTCTTCATCTTTTCTCACAAGTTCAAATGGCAGAAGGAAAGAGAAGAATAGACAACAGGGAATATATCGGATATTGACATAGAAAGAAAAACTATAAATATAATTCTTTCCACTATATTATATATATTAAAATTAATGATGACATAACAAAACAACGAAATGTCATGATTAACTATGCGTGTATCGACGGAAATGAAAGATGTCGAATCGTGCATAGCGAAGAGGGAGAAAACAACAGTGCTCGCGTCGGTTTACATCGATGAGAAGTTCAACGTGTCAAAATAGATCCATACCTGACGACAACAAATCTTTGTTGCCTGTCTTCAGAGCACATGTATCATGATGGTCGGTCGGCAACGCGACAGTCGAAAAATCAATATGATATTTCCGGTATTTGTGAGAAGCTGAAATTTCCGTCGCTGATCATATCAAACTCAGCTCTGCAACAATGAGGAAGAAATGACAAGTCAATAGACTTGCTTCACTATTTGCCTTTACGATCAAATGATTGCTAAGAAGATAGGCTGGAAAAAACAATCAATGATCAAGAAATAACAATAATAAGATGAAAAATAACTAGACGAAGAAGAAGAAGAAGAAGAATGAGGATTTCTCTTGATATAATTATCAATAGAAATAAACAGATTTACTTTCTCTGTCTCTCCATCTCGTTGTCTTCTTCGTACCGATTCACCTCACACAAAGACACTCGACATACAACTCAATTCGTATGCATGAAGTTATATCTCTAAGATCGACTGGAGTAGTTTGTTCCATTGTGATTGATGCTGAAACAAAGGCCCTCACAGCAAGCACAAAAGGGAAAAGGAGAACAAAAAGAACAACTATCGTTCGTAGAATGCCAGAATCCATCAAGACAATAGTTTAAAAAGCGAACAAGCACGGTCTATTTACATTGTGAAGCGAAAGACTTTTTTTGTTTGAAGAAAACAAAATCAGCAGAAATAAAGTCCGCAGCATGACATAGTCTTCGTATCTTTTCTGATAATCTCTCTTTCATAAGTTCTGTTCTTTCATGCACACGCTCTGCGAGAATAACAATAAGCAATCAATAACGGTTCGTCTTGTTTTCATTCGCATGGATCGCTCTCGTACACAAACTAACTTTGCCATTCAATCGTCAACGTCACATATGCAAACAGAGCTCTTATTTTTAGACTGAAATCGAACGTGTACATTGCAGCAAAGATTAGAAACAGATCATGAGAAGGATGACAATTGCAATTGTCATGTTCGATAGTCTTGAATGCGTATGTGCGCACAGGACACATGTGCTCTTTCTTGAGACCACTTGATAGGGAACCATCAATCAACAAACATCCATATACCATTGGAATAGTCAAAAAATAGAATGACAAGCGAAGAAGAGGAAAAAAACTGTCGCAGACTGGAAGTAATGAAAGAGAAAAATGTTGTTGAGAAAAAACTGATGTCGATAATTTCTATGATGAACGGAAATCATTGTCAACAGAATGGTACAAACTCATGAATGACGATAATATCAATGAATGTCTCCACATTAATGATGAATTGAGCGAGAAATCTATACATTAACGCTTTTCCGACTCGGTATTCTAACCTTCAATAAAAACCCAAAACGAACACGACAAATGTGAATTCTTTCGAATCAATGACAGTTCTTCGGAAGACAGCGACAGAGAAGAAAAAAAATTACCTTTATCGATCAAAACTAAATTACTGCACACAATAGTGTATGACGTTGTGTTGCCTTTCAATCGCGTCAAACATCAACCTCGATCGATGACAATCACAATGTTTTATACCACAAAAACCTTTATTCCTCTCGGCAATTCCTGTTATTTACCTGCAGAATAGTCAATTTCTACTTCGTACATACATGTACTCGAAACCAAACGATGGATGATCGCGAACTGGTTACCAACCGACTTGCTCTCGAGTGTCTGAGCGTGAAATGATTATAAAGATTAAAAAAACAGTCAGTTATCAAAACAAGCAACATATATGATTTTGTTGCTTTGAATCGAATTCTCATAGGACAAGATCGAGTACATATTCATATACGTAAGAGGAAAAAATGAATTTCTTTTGATATGATTTGACGATGCATACGATAATAAAATATTTCCTTATTAGAGGATATTTTATCGAGTTTGTAACTCAATGAATTTTGAAATTGATCGAATTTCACAATAGCATTCTGATTTTATTTGAATGTCCTTTGGGATTCCTCTCTTGTGAAATGAGTATTCTTTCTCATCAGTGAAAGCCAACTTACTTCATTCAGATGGCTGCAATGAATACTTGGCTGGCTTTTTCCAGGTGATGCGTTCATTTCACTGGTTGTATCTTTCGATTCCATCGTTAATCTGAAACAGCAGAAGACAGAACAATCCATGTGTATGATTCAATTGGCAAAAAACAAACTCGCTCCGGGATCGGCGTTTAGCAAGTAAAGCCGAACACAGGGAGGTCTCTCTCTCTCTCTCTCTTTTCCGTTTGTTTCGATTTGTCTCGAAGCAGCATTTATAAAACGAGCATTCACAACAACAAAAACTCACACTTGATAACATCATCAAATGATCTCAACGTCCCTAATTACTTTGAATACTAGATTGATGGACGAATAGCATACATGATAGTTAATGTACTGCTTGCTTGTCGCGAATGTCATTACCAAAACCCAATGACATTTGCTATATGGTAATCGAAGAGGGGAGAGTCCATTGCAATCTGACTATCAAAGAAGAAAAGAAATGACTTTTCGTTGTTTTTCTTTCTATGCTAATATGGAATTAACATTTGATTGAACAAACAGAAGAACATCTATTATGCTTTATCATGAGAGGCTCTAAAAGGGATTTATCAATGCGTGAATAGGGTAAATGGTGAAATGATAGGAATATTCGGGTACAAAATAATCAAGTTAAAACAGAAAATATCATTGAAAGAAAATCATGATCGTTCATGTTCGACGCTTGGCATTCGATATTAACATATCTTGCATACTTATTTCAATAATTCCATTAGGAATATTCTGAGAAAAACAGTTTCAAATTAATCTATCTGAATTCTATTAATTTTCTGTTTTTTAGATTGTGTCATTTATTCAAGAAGCACTTTGATTAACAAGTATACATTATTTCTTCATAAAGCATCGGCCTACGAACCAATTGAATATGATTACCATGAAAGCGAACAAAGGTCACGAGGTTTTTTTTCGTTAGACTGCTAAACACCATTACAAAAGTTTTGTTTCTACCTACTTACATAACCAAACGCGTGTTTTATCTGAACTAATACCTACCGTTGTAATCCATGATGGCTTTATTCGATGTCGGACAGACAGAGATTGTATCTCGTTGCATAATGATCATTCGTAAACTCTTCTGCGCGATTGCTATTTGCTATTACGAGATACTAGCAATCATTACTGGTAATAGTTGTAATGTACGGTGAGCAGCTGTCGTTTTCTGTTCTAATTCATTAGTCTAAGGATGGATCTCGGAGAGATATATGTTATTGAATTGTCATTCTCTTCCTTTACCGTTATTTTCCTCCTCTCTCTTTCTTTCTCATGATTAATTTTATTGCGAAATAATTGCTAACTGTCATGGGTGTTAGAGTATTTCATCTGGATATAATCGAGCTTTTCCTGTAACGAAAAATTCTGAGAACTGACTTTATTTTTGAAGAAAAACTCGTATTGCATCAATAATTGGTTTCGAATGTTCAATTAATAGCATATGCGTAGCACCGGGAATTATAGTCAACGACGAATTTTTGTAGAGTTGATGATAACGATAGGCATTTTCGACAGGAATTAAAGTATCGTTATCTCCCCAAACTATTAGGATAGGTATATTCAATTTGGCAATCGCTTGAGTGGCCGACAGTGAAGCTTCAAAATCGAAATTAGTTAATGTCGAATGTAAAGCTCGTAAATATCCAGGATGTTGTTGCCAACCTAGTCGAAACAATTGTTTGTATTCTCGATGTTGATCACTATCAGGAAAAGCCCATTGTAGACGATCTTTTTGTTCATTACCACGTTGCATAACATATTTGAAAAGTGCTGGGCCAAGAAAAGGAATCGACAAGACAAAAAAGTAGTATTTCGGCGGTTTGACTAAACCAAGCCCAGCAGAACAACAAAGAATAAGTTTCGACACTTTCGATGGATACAACTCAGTGAAACGTTGTATGATTGCTCCGCCCATACTCACACCATAGAGGTTGTGTTTATCATACGGAAGATCTAATGCGTACAGTAGTTCAGCCAATTGGCAAACAAAGATATCGATGTTCATCGGAACATGAGGCGAATCTGACCAACCACGACCATATAGATCATAAACTAAACATGGTTGATCGTCTTCCACAAGTGCTTGAAAAATGTCTTGCCACATTTCCATTGGTGTCGAATAGCCATGAACGAAAACATTCAATGGTAATGATTTCGACGAAGATGGATGGTAAATGTAATGAACAGTACCGAAAGAAAGTTCGATAAACTGGTCACGACCCATTCGTGTTATAGGCGTGGTGGAAATCTGATCACGTGGACGTGACAATCGACCATGTTGAAAGGCAAGCCGATCGTATAATTTGAAAAATACGATATAAATAAAAAGTACGATAAATAGTATAATCAGAAACATCTAAAATAAACCGTGGATGTGGATTGTTTTGAGATGAGAAGATGTCAGCTGTTTTATATAGACATTAACGAAAGATGCTGGGTAAGATACAACGAAGAGAAATACCAGTAGATAAGAATAGTAAAATTTTTTCTATGTTATATTCTCCGAAAGTTCAAAATTATTGATATACAACTGTAAAACAAGTTCTCCGAGAAGTTCGTTAATTACATGTTTGTAGTTTTGGAATAAAAATAAATGAATCAATATGTACAAAATATTGTTTACAATTGAAATTGTGTTGATACTAATCTTTTCGATAAATATTCACATATGCGTCAATCATTCTCTTGATCCATTTATGATCGTTTTTTTTCGCGTAAGTTGCCTAAAAGTAAGCAGAAATAACCCATTTTTCCTAATCGATGATTACTACATACTTTGTCAACCACTCTTTTCATTATTTTTTTATATTCTGCCTTCGTTATAAGACGTTGTTTGTATATGGGTTTCAATTCTTGTTTAGTAACATCAATAATCTGTCTCTGACGTTGATAACGTTCTTGTTTCTGAAAATGTATTGACATAGGACTACTAGAGTGTTGACTTCTTTTCATTCGTTCCATTAGCGGTAACCTTGAATTGTCCATTTTGTTCGTGGAAGAAGCTGAGACAGTAGGGAATACTTCGATAGGTATATGATGAAATATATTACTTGACTCACTGTAAATGATTTGATCGATTGCAGCGGAAATTTTGCACAGAGTTTGGATTTCGTCGTCACGCAAGTTCAACACTATAAATACGATAATTTCGAGAGAAAAATGACTTCCTTTTCTCCTTACTAGTTGGTAATTCATCAGATGTTTGACACGCGGTTGATTGAACCTTACTAGAATTAGGTAATGTCACAGGAGTCGCAGAATGAGTCAGACCCTTCCGAAGTAAGGTATGACATGATTGATGACCGTCCGTTTGCCGTAAATACTGCTTGTTCATTTGTAAAGTTAATGTTAAGGATAAAGGCTTCTCCTCTTCATGTAAATCATCCTCTGTGCAGTTGTGCACTCTACATAAGTTCCTCATTGATATTATCTACAAAGAAAAGATTTCATATTTATGAATCCTGTGTTGTCGTGAATGTTCTTTTGCTGCTATTGGTTATTTCGCATTTTAAAGATAAGGAATATCCTCTTGACTTTTGTTTAGCACGGTATAAAGTATCTAAAGTTACACAATCAGTAAGTGCTTTATTTCTTGACGAGAAGATACATTTGAAGCAGACATGCTTCATCAGGATTATTAGAAAAATATTTATAAAATTTGATCGAAATCGATTATGATAATTGTATATTTGCTCTAAATAGATAACAATTAGATAATCATACAATACAATCCGTATGTTTACCCGTGCATTTGGACGTTTTCTAATGTCCGAAGATTATTTTGAGCATAAAGTAGCTGGTCAATGAAAGAAGCATTCGCTGAAAGTTTGGCTTTTGGAATCACTATCTGTGGTCGCGATGGAGCATCGATTCGCCGTTTGATTCGCGGTAACCGAGCAACAGGCACTTTTGATGGAAGATAACTCAGCTTTCGTCGATGTTGTTTCAGTGCTGACATGAATCGGACTTGACTTCGTGGAACAGTAGATTGTGGAGAGTTTTTACTTGAAACATTAAAGAAATCATTAGACTAAACAAAGACAAATCCAGCTTTTCTACAGACTTTCGCGCGGTACGATGTGATCTGATAGCATCAACTATTTTCCGGAAGAAAAACAAAGATCAATACACGCACAAATCCGAAGTCGAGTATCGCTTACTAGCTCGTTGTTGGGCGCCACTAGTAATACGGAGTTTTTTTCCATGAGTATGCCCACATGATGGACACGTCCATGCTTCTGTATTCGATGAATTCAAACAAAACGGATGATAACTACGATGCGAAATGCAAATCTCTGTTTTTAGTATATGTACTACACACTTACCTAGTATTGCATTGACTACAACCTAATAATACATATTCGCCTTCGCCATCGCCGCATGCTTCACAAGTGTTCGTGCTTACATCTATCAAGGCTTCTAATTTGCCATCCTTTGCGTTGACCTAGTGAAAATCCAGAAGATTTAATCGTATAATTCGTCATCTTCTTTTGAACGTACTCGGGCATATGGCTTTAAACAGGAATGTGACTCCTTCTTTAGAATGTACTCAAATGGTTCACGATCAAGTGGACATGTTTGCTTTTCCTACGAATTCGTTCACAGTCAATTGAAGAAGGTTGGCAGTTCACTCACTGTACTCCAATTGAAAAGACAAGTGAAACAGAACATATGTTGACATCCTTCTGGCATTCCAACTTCTTGATTTTTAAAGTCGTTGAGACATATTGAACATTCTTCAGTCGTTGGAGGTGCATCTACTGCCTGACTAGATCGTTTTCTTTCATTTTTTAACATTGCTATACCGGATTTACTCGCCATTTTCTTGAAACTCTGAACAGAGCAGAAAAGAACTTTTACTCAATTATTTGTGGAGACGCACATCAATCGTATCGCGCTATTTCTCTCGGCAAAAAAGCGACAGCAATCTACGTCTCGTAATGACATCTACTGTCAAGTCCAGATGCGTTTTGGTTCATTTTGAAAATAAGCAAATGGACAAGTACACTCTAAATACAGAAGTTAAACTATTTTCGAAAAATCCCGACCGATCGAAGGAGAAAAAGGTAATATCTGTACCGTGCGCATATATATGTAAAGTAAGGAAAGAACTAACATTTGGAAAAACCACTATTATAATTCATCTGAAGATATGTTACCACAGCGAACTATAGTATTCAAGGTATTCCAACCATCCTCAAGGTATGCTACACTGCGCACAAAAATCTGTTTTTGATGTTTTATTTTCAATAAAACTCTACAAACTACTGGAACGAAATGAAAACATCGTCTCGGTATCTAATGGTGTTGATTTTTGGGATTCTCTGCTGCTGTACGCCATTGACTAGCAGCTTTTTTGAACGCATCTTGATGTGTGATATTGGGATCAGCTGCTTTAATCCTAAGATTGCAAATGAATTCGTGTGTTAGTCATACAACTTACGAAGATCTTACTGAGAGATAGTATGTTGAATATAAAGATTATAGCTACTGTTCGTTGCTTTCTTTCCTGAACGATGTGTCTTACGGACACCTTTGCGAGTTGTTCGTTTGACTTGACGATGATGTTTGGCTGCAGCACCAGCTCGTTTTCCTCGATGAGTTTTCTTATGTTTGGTTGAACCTGATTTAGTACTTTTTGCTGATCGTTTACGATGTCTAGCCATACTTGTTAGTCAATGATTGGTAACGAAGCAAACAAAAATAAACTGAGAATGATAAATAAGTGAGAAACTCAATAAAAGTTGTTTGATATAATGAAATCAATTCAGTTAGTAACCGTACGTATAAAATGGAAAAGGCGCTATAGTTCGAGCGGCAAATACTCGACATGAATACGTTGCTATCAGTTTCGAATGTTTCACTTGTATGAATAGAAAATGTTGAGTTGCAGATGAAAAAAATTATTGTTTGTTTTTTATTTCAACATAACATCCATATAGATTAATATCATCAGCATGTTTGATAACAAAGGAAAAAATACATATACATGTTTTCTCGATGAATATACACGATGAAATAAGAAAAATATTCCATACGACGGGCACAATGATATATACCAGTGACAAAGAAAAAAAAACAAAGAACATAGCCGCATTCAGCTGTTCTCAGACCGAATTTTCGCTTCCGTAATGTCGTATACTTTGATCAATTCCTAAAATCAGAATTGATAACAGAAAGGAATTCAAGGAAATGTTAACTTACCTCCCATTCGTCCATTGTAATCGACTAAAACGAAAGAGAATAGATGTTCGCTTCACAATCGGATGATATTTATCAAAATAGAAAATGCTTACCATTATCATTTGATTCACGTGCGCAGTTGATTCGGCGGCTTGCGATGAACTACTCGCCGCTCGATTCATCGCTTTATCTGTTGGTTCTAAAATACTCGAGAATGTTTTGAATGTATTCGTTGTAACTCGTTTGACTTACCAAGTGCTGGTAAAGACACATCATCTTGAAAGAGGTTAACAAATCCTTCCTAGAACAAACGAGTGAAGATCGATTGGATAGCTTGGATATATCTGCCTACTTTGATAAGAAATGAAACATGAAACATATTCTCAACAGTTTTAGCAAATGAATCTGGATCGATAACAAATTCGAAATAATCAATTGGACTGTAATTTGCGGCTTTGTAATGTTTAACAAGACACCGTTTGATATGCATGATGTGTTTGATTGTTTGTTCACCGAGTTCAGCGCTAAAATCTTTAACCTTAAAAGAAATATTAGTATCAATGATCGAACGATAATAGATAACGATCCTTACTTCTTCCGGTCGTGTACGCGTTCTCTCTAATTCTTCTTGAGTGAGTTTCGGTTGGCGCACAGGTTTTGCACGTTGCTTTTGCTTCTCCTGATACTCATTGCTGAATAGTTTCGTTGGCAACCGTCCATGCCTTTATTGATATTGATATGGAAATAAACTCCTCATTCTCGAGAATATCAACTTACATAATACACGGTGCTGGAACAATATGATGAAAATTACCAAAGATTTCATAGAATTCATTGGCATTTCCGACTAATTTCGAAAGAATTTTCTCGCATTTTCGTGCTAGATCATAAGCACGATCTAAGCCTCCTGCTTCATCGGCAGCACGGATTCGTACACTGGCTAAATTCGATATGGTTCGCAGAGCCGAAGCATCAAGCACACCTTCACGAGGCATTTTTACTGAACACAACAAACCAAATTCATTTGCATAAAATCTTTCACAACAATGTTACCTTTCGCAAAGGCTTTGTCAACTTGATCGATCTTCTTCTCTAATTCGTCATTATTGGGTGAAGTATACAATTTTCGATTCACTGCAGACAAACAAATGATTTTCGACGAATATCACGAGATTCTCTTACCATTCAAATCGTCAATAAACTGTCGATAATCCAGTCGAACTCTTAACCGTAATTCTGCTTCGTCATCAATCATCGACATCTAAATGTATTAAATACGAGTTGTTCGGAACACTCTTTGACGTACTTGACTAGGACGTTGGGTCTGACTTCTGTACTCGTCATCATTGTTATCTTCTTGCCGTTTCTGTTACAAACAGAACGATATGTAAAATGAAATATTTGATTCAACAATTTACTTTGCTTTTGTCTGACGATTTGTTGCTGACCATTCTTAACTTGGAAGAAAACGATTGACAACGGAACGAAAATTCGGGTTAGAAAATTTTCGTATTCAAGAGTCCAATCAAGGACATATGATAATAGGTGTCACTGGATGATGTCATCGGTTTGCGAAGTATCTTTTCGTGCGATTAGTTGCTTTATAAAGAATTTAATGAAATTTCCACTCAACTTCTCAACGTGACATTCTGTAAACTACAAACGAAAACAGAAAACAACAACGATACAAAGCGAGAGAATGATTTTTTCCATTACTCTACGCACCGTGCAAACACAGAACACATTGAAAGTCTTCCAGTGCGCAATTTAGTAATGACTTCTACATCGATCAGAAAGTTCGCCTTTCTTATCGATTGTCTCTCTGTCACCAATGCTCGCCATTTACAGCCTGAATTCCTTCGAAACTTTCCACTGAACAGCGGAATCTACTTGTTCTATCATGAAAGTAAATCGAAGTCTTATCAACGTCATTTGGAACGTTTTGCATCGAACAGTCATCTTATTCATCTCATCCCAACATCGGAGGATAGCATTACTATGAACGTATCTTTCAAACTCGGCCAAATTTATGATCAATACGATGATTTTGTCATCGTTGCGAATTACGATCCTGCTTATGACGATATTTGCCAACGATTGATCATACTGAATACTCAATTGAAAAATCACGTTCAATTTCGGCGTTTCAACGGTATCAATGAATTTCTTCAATTCCTCCGCCAGTTGAAATCTTTCGAAAACGAAGATCGAAAAGAACCTATCACAATTAATTATAACAAAACTCAACTCTTTCATCGATGTCCGTTCGAAACCAATGAACAATCCACGTATTTGTATCGTTTTGGTCAATTACTTCATCATTTAGATACTGAACATCCCGATGTTCAGTATAACTACTGCACCGAATGTCAAAACATGATCGAACACGCAGATTTGTCTAATCAGAATTCATTCGGTAAACATTTAAAAGATGAACACTATGGAAATGACAAAGGTTTTCAATTAACAATTTGGTCTGCGAACTAATCATACTGCTTGCGATGAATAAGAACAACTTTATCGTAAATCTTTAATGCATGAACGCATACTTTGATGATTGACTAACAAACTGTGAGTTCAATACAATCATTCTGCATCATTTCATGTCTGAGTATGATTATGTCTCGACTCTTTCATTTCTTTTTCTTCAACATGACTGTACAAACATTCAACACATTCTTTTCGTAACAAATCACTATATTTAACAACTACATTGAACATGACTTGAATAAAATTTTCAGATGAGATTATCAAACTCGATGTCATATGTGCATATATTTCAACTATTGAAGGACGTTCGTGTACGTCTCTGTGTTAATAGAATGTATATAACTTTTCTTGATATGATTTACCATTTTTGATCATATCGCACTGTTACTTTTTACCGTGAGATTGCTGTCTACATTTCTTACGCAATCGAGTATTTAATTAACAGAAAAATAACATTCGATGTGCTAAATTTTCTTCGAAGAACTTTCAAAGTAAACAGAAAAACAGCAGTTGAGATAGGAATGTATGTCAATCGAACTATTTCTCATTCTAAACTCTATTAATATGTTGATCAATTGACATCGCCGTCCAGACGTAATTAGTTTCTTGCCATACGTAGCCTTCTAACGAGTGTTGATTAGTTCTTTTGTGCAAGAACGTCTGTCATCCTACGAAATAAAGTCATGGTCACAACATACTCTTAATCTTTTGACAAAGATAATGCGAACGCAAACACGTCATTGTTTATCGTTTTGACAAAACAAAATTCGTCTCGTTACCTTCCTTCATCACTTTCACATCATAAAATCAATTTACATTTTATTTGTTCTGTTATGCGCGTGTCAATACTGATTAATGTAGAGAAAATTTCGAGTACATTGTCTTCTACTGGCTGATGGGGTTTTTTTTCTTTTGCTTTAAAATAAAATGTTCATAAAAAAGCGAAAATTATATTTGCATAGTGAAGCGTTTACAAACAAACCAATAACTTTCTCAAATAAGAAGTTAAAATAATACGGTGGAAGATATTCATATCTGTGTCAACATAGCGATTCATGGCAGGTTTGCGCTAGTTCTACAAAGAAGAAAAAGCAAAGGTATAATTTCATTTGCTTGAGAAGATAATTACCATGTCGGAATTTTTCGAGTTGGGATGAAAGACGTGCGGATGAAGGACAACTGTTCTGTACCAAAGATAATTGTGCTGTTAGTTGATTGTTTTCAGCCTAGAAGAGAAAGAAGGAAAAGACAATTGAATCGGAATGATTCGTTTGGTGAAGTTTACTTCGAGTGCATTGAACGCGATGTGAAGACGTTCAACGTCAGTTTGTAACTGTCCAAGAAGTATCGATTGACATTGTCGATTTTGTAATTCTTTTTCCAGTTCAAGTAATTTTTTTTGTAAAGATTCCCTTCGATGACATTCTCGTTCATATTTCGCCTTCAATAAACAAAAATGAATGAATGTTTCTTGTTCAATATGAACATGCACAAGCTAGAGCAAGGAGAAAAGGTGATTGAACTATTAACCTTCCACTGAGATTCTTGTTGTTCGATGTCCTTCAATTGTTGTTCCAGTTCATCGATTTTCGTCTGTTTACTGTGCAGCACT